CAGGGTCAGCATGGTGGCCAACAACAAGCCCATGGTACAAGTCTGCCACCGGAAGTGGCCAACCATCAGTTTTCCCCTCAATCGACTGACCCCAATGCGCCCAACTACGACCCCAACGCTCCCCCCATGACCGAAAGTGATCGTGGTCTCCTCGGCGCTGTCGGCGGCGGGTTTGGTGGTCATTTCTTGGGCAAACAGGCCGGCCATGGCTTCCTAGGAACCATCGGCGGTGCCATCCTCGGCAGCGTGGCTGAAGACTTTTTGAAGGATAAGAAGAAGCAGCATCATAGCAGCGGCAACAGCAGCTGGGGTGGTGGCAGCCGATACTAAGTTGATGGATACATCAACAAGACTTTTTTTTGCGGCGACTGCTGCTTGGTGGGAGGTCCATTCGACGCCATGGATGGGTTCTTTTTTCTTTGTTTCCTTTTTCGCGAGATGAGCTGATACAGACGGGAACAATTGGTCACGACTCATGACAAACATTGTACTTGGTTTAACTGAACTGCCTTTCCAGCATGCATCAGAGTATGCTTATGCTTTTTCATAAGTCAATGGCTGCGCAAGGGACAGGGAAGGACTTTAGGCATCCATGAAAGGAATTGACGATATCACTTCACCCCGATTCATCTCGTCATTCATAAACTCAACGTGTCTAGATTTGCTTCGTGTGTCTAACTGCATAAATAACACCCAGCCCAGCAACCGGGTAACCGTTTTACCGCGTCACGGCGTCACAAGTGTGCTGACAAGGCTTCTCCTCCAGTTGTGCCAACTTCGCTCGCATTTTTGCCCAAGTCCTTGAACCCAACATACCCATTGTCAATGACCCTCTGGATATGGCCGTAGAACAGCTTCAAGCCGCCAAAGTAGAAGCGCATGGCGTACTTCTTGCCCGGGATGTTCCGCCCAAAGATCCAGCTGGCCGTTTCCTTGAACAGGCTGCCCTCGGCGACGCGCTCGCACTCGAGGCCCCATTCCTTCTCGGCTTCGGGCGTCGCCTCGATGAGCGGCACCGGGGCGGATGCCGGGTTGGATTTGCGCAAGGTCTCGGCGCGCTCGACCAGGCGCGAGATGAGCTCGACGTGGGCTTCGAGCGCCGGGGGGAGGTTCGTAAAAGGGCCCTGAGGGCCCGTGATCATCAGGAGGTTGGGGAAATTGGGCACCGACACGCCCAAGTAGCTCGTCGGACCGGTCGGGTCCCAGTATTCCTTGAGGCTGATGTCGTTGCGGCCGCGGATGCGGATGCGGTTATAATTGCCCTCGACGGCGTCAAAGCCAGTGGCAAAGACGAGCACATCGAGCTCGTAAAGCTTGCCATCGCTGGTCTCCACGCCCTGCTCGGTAATGCGGGTGATGGGCGTCTCTTGTAAGGCCACAACGTCCACATTGTCGCGGTTGAACTGCTCAAAGTACCCGCCGTCACAGAGTGGTCGGCGCGCGTAGTAGTCGTGAGGCTGTAGCTTACGCGCCTTCTCTGGGTCTTTAACAATCTGCCGGATCTTCTTGCGGATAAATTCGCAAGCGGCTTCATTGGCTTCCCTGTCCGTGGCGATGTCGCAGAAACCGCCGAACATGAAGCGGAAGCCGTTGCCCGCCTTCCAGAGGGTTTCAAAGATATGTTCGCGCTCTTCCGGGGACGTCACGGATTTGAATGGAACAGTGGACTCGACAAAGCCAAAGCCCACGATTGAGTTTCTGACTTGGTCGAAGATGGCGTCGTAGTTCTCATTCACCCATGCACGGTAAGCAGGATCGACGGGTCGATCACCGCTGGGGACGCTATATTGAGGATGTCTCTGGAAGCAGGTCAAAGACTTGACCCGCGGAGCGATGTCGGTGATAACCTGGACTCCCGTCGAACCGCAGCCTATAATACCAACGCGCTTGCCAGTTACATCAAGTCCTTGGGGCCAGTTTGCGGTGTGAACCTTCTGGCCCTTGAAACTGTCGATACCGGGAATATCGGGGTAGTTGGGCTTCGAGAGTAATCCCAATGCGGTGATGAGATATCGCACTTTGAGGCTCTCCCCAGTACTTAGTTCCACTTGCCAGTATCTGGAGGTATCGTTCCAGACCGCGGAGAGAAGTTCAGTGTTGAATTGCATATCCTTGCGCAGATCATGTCGCTCGGCGACATGCTTTAGGTATGCCTGAACTTCAGGCTGCTTGACATAATGGTGACTCCACGGCCAAGTTCGCAAGTCCTCTTTATCCCATGAAAATCGATAGACAAAACTCTCTGTGTCACTCATGGCGCCCGGGTAGCGATTCCAATACCAGGTTCCACCAATATCACTAGCCATCTCGATCACTCTGGCAGACAGACCCATCTGTCTCAGCCGGTGCAGCTGGTAGATGCCGCCGAAGCCTGCCCCGACAAGAAGGGCGTCAAGATCGATCTCTGCACGGGCCATGTTGGTTTTTAGAATGAATCAGCTCTCGGGGAAAAAAGTGGTTGATTCTGGTCGAGCAAGACAAGGACTTATATCGAAGCAAGAGGAGAGCAGACGGTCTTCAAACCCCGGCCAGATGGCACAATAGATACTGTAGGCCGGGGGAGGGGGGTTTTCTGGGGTGACGGGGATGGTCTGGAGGTCGGATATCAGATGGGGTTCTCTGCTAGCCTGATGCGTTAGCGATGCGTTCCCTGTATCAGTGATAGGCTCTCGCTCCACGGATAGACCGTTAGCTCTCCGGGTTTCATATCCCGTGGAATGGGGAAAATTCTGGACGGTGGAGAAAGAGGGGATTAATTTCGGTCCCTGGTCCTTGGATCAGATTCAGTAGTTCATCTGGGAGGTTCTTCCGTGGCTTTATGCATTGGTCTCGCCTCAGGACTAGCCAGGACGCTTGCAGGCGATCGAGTACGCTTAGGGATGAAGGGAGGGTAGCAGCGGGATGCATAATTGACGAGACAGTGTTGCGGGGGCTGTTGAAGCAGGATGCTGGAGGGGGTTTTTTTTTGGTGCAAGTTTGAGGTGGCAAGGAAGGTGAGCCAGTTCATTCGCCAAGAGTTCTGCACTGTGGGCTTGGAATTTGATCTTCCTCGGCCCAAAATCCCACGCTGTTCGTGTTCCCCGCATCCCTCAAAGGCCGCAGTCGACTGCTGCTTTTGTTACCAAGTCCCCATGCACACATGATCACCTCCACGGAATCGCAAGTGGGAGGGTCAGCGAAAATGCCACACCACGTCGCGGTGTACACCGTCGTGCCCGTCTTAAATGCCAGGTAAGGTGCTCGATACATCTGACAACTCGATCTTGTCGATTTCTTATTCTGCCTTCACCTTTTCGTACTAGACCAAAGTAGTCAACATGACACAACGCGTGGCTTTCATCACTGGAGGAAGTGGTGGCATTGGACAAGCCACTGCTCACAAACTTGCAAGCCGTGGCATATGGGTTGTGATAACTGATATGGACGAAAAAGAAGGCACCAAAGTGGCGGACGAGGTGGCCAAGAAGTGGAATGTCAAGACCAAGTTCATCAAGCTCGATGTCACTCAGGAACAACAGGTCAAAGACGCCATAGCCTCGGCGTTGGAGTGGACTGGTCGTCTTGACTATGCGGCCAACTGTGCAGGAATATGCGAATCCATCTGGGCTGAAGAGGAAAGCATTAGTGTCGAGCTCTTTGATAGGTACGTGCAAGACTGATGCTCATTTGTCACATTGCTGACCCTTTTTAGAACGCATGCCATCAACACCAAGGGCCTGTGGTTGTGCCAGAAACACCAGGCGTTACAAATGAGGTCACAGGAGCCTCGTCCCATCTCATTTGAACCATCGCCCCAACACACTATCCCCGGACAACGTGGTGCCATTGTCAACGTCGTCTCTATTTCCGGACTCCAGGCTGCTGGTTTGGCTGCATACACGCCCTCGAAATATGCAGCTATCGGAGTGACGAAAAATGGAGCGAAATTCTACGGACCAGATGGAATCCGAGTCAATGCCGTGTGTCCCGGTTGGACTTTGACCAAGATGATCGAGAAGTCGATGGGCGCCGAAGGGACTATTGGGGCAAAGGAGAACGAAGAGTCGCCAGTCAGTAAAGCCATTGCCTTGCGAAGAATGGCATTTGCTCAGGAGCAAGCAAATGTCGTGAGCTTTCTGTTGAGTGACGAGAGCAGCTATATGAATGGATCGCTGGTGGTGAATGATGGAGGGTTCCACGACATCCGGTGAAGGACAGCCAGGTTTTGTGTGATATGATCCAATATAGACTTACTTCTGTACACCTTGTTTTGGTATAGACATCGCCATGGATATGTAGACTGGACCTCTCTCGCAAGGTTGAATGAGTGGAAGGGTAGATTAGACAAGACTCAAAGAAGCATTTACTGGCGCTTTGCCTTGTTGAACTTGGTGCCAACTCTCTTTTCCCCTGACCTCGTATACAGGTACAACCAAGACTTGTGGTTGAGCAATGGCTATACCCAGCTATACAGACTCGGCACATCGGACCCGCCGTAGCCTGGGACTAGTACGAGACAAGGGAATATACAACATCCCAAGACTGACAATGATCAACCTCGCTCAACGCCGCTCAACGCTCCTCTCGGGGATGTAGCGGGTTTTGACATGCACTATTTGTGCTATTCTTACTGATTATGACTCTCAGAATTTCGAGTCAGTTGTTCAATGTCTGTCACGGGACTTGAATTTATTGCCTCCCCGGACGGTGCTTTCCACACACTCCACAACGTTGGACACAGCATCCACAATTCCCCCCACAGACACGGCATTCCTGCTTATTGCGCTGGTCGATACTGAAGAACTTTCTCCAGCACGCGGTACCCACAAGTGGAGAGAATATGTTCCCCCATCCCACGGAATTGTCTCCATGGGAAGGCGAGTTTGTGTCTGTCGCCGATCTGATCACCTGTTTATATCCCAGCGGATACCCCGTCGTCGTCGCTATGATTTCTCAGGATTCCTATACAGATTCCTGTACACACGCAATCTCCATCATCACTTGAACAATTCCCTAGCAACATGTCGAACTTCAATCGAGGTTACGCTGGAAAGCTCCAAGGATTCTGGCTTCAAGCAGCCATCACCTTGTGCGCAGCCTGGGCCTTCACTCTTTTCGGTACCGTTGATCCCAGTCCCAGTTCCAATTCCAATAGGAGGCCATGAACTCGCTGCTAACAGTCGTCCTCCTAGGATACGACCAAGGTGTCCTCGGCGGTCTCATTGCCCTGCCTAATTTCCTGTCGGCTAACAACATCGGTGTCCATGATGCGGATCTCCAAGGCACAGTCGTGGCCATCTACGATATCGGTTGTCTGAGTGGATGCATCATCTGTGGTTTTGTTGGCCAGATGCTCGGTCGCCGCCTGTTTATCGTCATTGGGGGACTTCTGATCTGTCTCGGAGCTGGGCTGCAGGCTGGGGCGCAGGGTACCTCGTATCTGATCTCTGGACGTGTCGTTGGAGGTCTTGGAATGGGCATCATCACCGTCATGGTGCCGGTCTGGGTCGCCGAGACGGCCAAAGCAGCGACTCGAGGCGCCTTGATCGCGACTCAGCTATCAATCGTCATCCTGGGCCTCACCATCGCCTACTGGTTCGACTACGGCATGATTCGCAACCATCCCGATACCGAGGCCGTCTGGCGTTTGCCCATCGCTTTCCAAGTGGTCTTCATCCTGTTGACCTTTGCCATGATCTTCTTCCTCCCGGAGTCGCCCCGTTACCTCTACGCCAAAGGCCAGACTGCCGACGCCGACGATGTCATGTCTCGTATCTACTCGGTCCCGGTTGACAGCGAGGAGGTATCCAAGCACCGTTGCGATGTGTTTGCGGCCCTGGAAGCCGAGAAGGAGTACAACTTCAATTTCAAGAACCTCTTCTACGATGATTCGCCGGTGAACACAACCTGGCGGCTGTGGCTTGGTGTTTTGGTTCAGGTGAGCAATACCGCCACTCCTGACTGTGAGGAGAGTGGTCAAACTAACATCCGGTAGTTCTTTCAACAAATGGACGGGTGAGTGGTATCAGAACTGCTACTAACTCCAACTAACTGGTGCAAAGCAACAACATCGTCTCATACTACGCGACCTTTCTCTTCATCAATTCTCTCGGCATGTCGCAAAACCAGGCTGCCATCACGAGTGGTGGTGTCACACTACTCTTCCTCGGTGGGACTGCGACTACCATATACACAATGGAGAGATTCGGCCGACGATCAGTCATGCTATGGGGAGCCGTTTTCTGCTCTTTGTTCATGATCCTATTCACCATCGGACTCGCTGTCAACAACGACTCTTCCAACAAGCTTGCTGTTGTCAGCATCTTCCTGTTTGAGTTTGTGTTTGGTGCCTCGTGGTGCGGTGCGCCATGGATTGTAAGTTACTCACCAGAGTCTGAAGAGGGACATGACTAACTATTGGTCTCTTTAGTACGTACCTGAGATAGCACCTCTCCATGTGTAAGTGACACTTCCCAAAATGCCCCCAGCTGCCATGATGATCGTCATGGTCGGAGACTCCTAGAACCAAACTGACCATTCATTTACAGTCGTCACATTGGCACCTCGATGGGCGTCTTCACGCAATGGATCATCACGTTCATCGTGGTCAAGTTTGGACCGAAGGGGATCCAGGCTTCCGGGTGGAAATTCTACCTGCTCTTCTGCGTCTTCAACGTCCTGGCCGTGCCGTTTGTCTACTTCTTCGTCAAGGAGACCAAGGGTCTGAGCTTGGAGGAGATCGACGTGCTCTTTGCGAAGAAGGAGTACAAGCACGTCTTGGAGGCAAGACTTCGGGGTGACGCAGAGGCGGGAGAAAAGGGTGCGGTCGAGAAGCAGGAGATTACCCATGAGACATTCGAGATGAAGTAGATGTACAGTGCGCACTGCAGCGGTGTTGTTAGAGGCATCATCCTCGAAGGAGAAGAGGAGGTTGAAGGACGACAATGATAGATTGCTAGAGGTTTAGAGTCCGGAGCCAGCCGCAGCTGCCAAAGACCAGACAGGCAGGACAAGTCAAGACAAGACAAGACAAGACAAGCCTTTAGAACTAACAGAGACACTTCCTGTAGATCAAGAAGGATAGCCTAGCACCTGATCGTCCATGGATAGGAAAAGTTGCGCTTCTAAGCTTTTCTTTCGATCATGAGTTGCATCACCTTCATCTTGGAGTCAACTGCGTCCGACTGCGCCCATGTTCTACCACTACCACCTCCACTACCACCACCAAAATCCAAGCTGTCCGTGCCTCGAAGCATCTACACACTCCACTCGGTGCATTTCGATTTTCTCTACCAAGCTACCCAGCTTCCATCTCTTCACCGATCGGATCGGATGCGGACAATGACTCATTTTCTGTACCTCACTCAGGGATTTGGCCCCCTGGCTAGTCGCTACATACTTAATTTGACCACCGCGAGCCGAGGAACATGGGCTGTGGCTGTGGGCTGTGAGCAACACATTGAGTCATTGTCATCAATCCTTTGATGGCACTGCGTGTGATGGACACATCATATATTGCATGGGATGGTATGCATACAATGGAGGGATGATATATCACGGCTCGCCAGAGTCGTGTTTCTCTTCCTCCTCCATCATTGGGCAAGCATTAAAGCAAATCGCCACATCACTATTGATATCAGCTCACAGATTGCACTCAAAGTCCTACCATGCTGATCCATAATAGCTCCTTGGCCGACGAGATCTACGCCCTCAACGCCATCTACGGTGAGGGTCAGTTTGTCGCAACCTATTCCGATGCGCACCACACGACCGTGTCAATGCGACTTCCTGGGCTCAGCTATTCATTCCTGCTCCATGTTCTGGACAACTATCCTCAATCGCCTCCGAAGGTACTCGGAGTCGACAACCTCGTGGAGAGCTTGAAGCAGGAAGTCCAACAAAATGCCGTCTACTTGGGAGCGTGTGTCCAGGCCGTCCACTCGTGCGAAACTGTGTGTCTATACGATGCCATCGAGGAGTTCCAGACTGTTTACACAGTCCTGCAAGCGCATACTCGTCAATCTCGAGACCCGAGAGAGGACGCGCAACTGAATTCGGCTAAAAGAGCCATCATACTGAAAGATTTGGCAGCCCGAGCCAGGGCGAAGGCGTCTGCAGGAGGCCACGAAAGCATCACCACGGATTCACGGTTCGATGTAGTCGACTGTGTTGTTTGTATGGACGCTTTCTTCAGAGTCGACGTCGTGAGCTTGGAGTGCCGTCATTTATTCTGTCGGGATTGTCTTCACGGCACGCTTAGGCCACCACCTTTGGATTTCGGAGTCTGGACTAACTGAGTACAGATGGTGCCCGGAACATGTTCAAGACGAGAAGCGAGATCAAGTGCTGCGGGCAGAGTGTACCACTCAAAGTGATTCGCGAGCATGGCGGCCTCGACGCAGAGGCTGTTGACGTCCTCGCCCACTGGCTTGAGGAAGTCCACGCCCCGAACCCGGTATATTGCCCGTGGGAAGACTGCCTGGCGCACATTCCGAGTTTTTGGGTCAAGGGAGACTACGTCAAATGCCCTTTCTGTAAGAAGAGGATGTGTATGGGCTGCAGGGGAAAGGAACACAGCGGGTTATGCATGCGAGACAAGAAGCTAGAGAGGCTCATCAAGAGACAGAAATGGAAGTTCTGCCCCGACTGTGGGCATCTCGTCGAAAGGAAGGAAGGATGCAACCATATGACCTGCGTTTGCTCCTCCGAGTTCTGCTATCGATGCGGAAAGACTTGGGAGAGGAGCGGACCGACCTGCGACTGTGGGTTCTTTCGACCACTTGATTGAAAGGGACAACTGACCCAGGACTCCCTCATGTATTACCAATTCGAGATATGGAGTCATGTTTTGGGCCCTGCCTTGATGGTCGTCGTGCACCAGCATGTCACAAGGCAGCCTCGTTTTCCCAAGTACGACTCTCTCGCACCTTACAGACTATGGACGACCGCCAACTCGCCGACACAGTCTAGGCACGACTCCCGTATTCATTCCAAAAAATATCCATGGCTTCCGAGAATGATTTGGTCGGCAGATCTAACAGCGGATTTCCAAACCCGGGCCTCCCTTCATACTGATTACCCTGTGCGAAGGTGCCAAAGGTCAACTTTGGCAGCGCGCTGTTGTCGCCATTCCTGACCTCCTGCTTCCCTTGTTCTAGCCACGGGCCGTGCTCGACGTTTTCTACCTGCCACCCGGGCATCTTCTGCTGCACCGCATCCAACATTTCCTTTTGGTTGGTCCTGAAATCCTGGACCAGCAAAATCCGATTTTTGGAGACGTCAGGCTTCTCGATCGCCTTGACCACGGCCAAAGCGACGGTATCCATGGTTGTGGCGACGAATTTGGGCTCACCACCGTCTATCAAAACGGTTTTCTTCTGGTCGAAGTGCAGCTGGAAGAAGCCAGAGATGAGGCCCATCTCAAAGAAGGCGTTGCAGCAAACACTGGTCCACTCGAGGCCCGTGTCTTGCTTGGAGATCAGGTAATCGCGAACGTCGTGCTTGATCTTGAACATCTCCCGCAACTGGAGCAGCCAGTCCGGCAAGTCGTCCAGGCCGAACTCGGTGGGGAAATACCGCTTCACTTTTGCGGCGATGCAGGCGTCGATGAACCTGTACTGCTGGTGCATGCCCATCATGGAGATGGCGGAGATGACAACGTCGACATCCTTGAAGGCGTCTGTGAGCTCGGCGACCGGATAGTCGTCAGCGACGCGGGTGACGGTGACGGTATCGGGGAATTTTGCGGGGGAAGAATGGCGTGTTAAGACCGTGACCTGGAAGTTTTGTGAAGAGGCCAACAGGTGTTTGAGGATCAGAGTACCTAAATTGCCGGAGCCGCCGATGAGACAGATTCGTCGAAAGGCCATGATTGTGAAATGAGAAGCGGGAGCGAGCCCTTTGAGGTGCACGAGCTTGATGTGACTGACTATGATACTGATATCGCCAGTCGTAGAGGAAAGGATGTAACTACTTGTATATATCGTACTTTCGTAGGGGTCTTTACCTACAGTAGATAGATCCGTTTGAGGGCACGGGGGTTACCTGAAAGAGAGCTCTTTGACGTCGTTTTTTCCCCCTTTCCTCCTGTTCGTGCTACTCCACCCCGTCTATGGTAATTCTTCTCTGCTTCTTCGGCAGATTGAATCTTGGGGCATTTCCGGATGTGGAACGTGGAGCGTGGGGCAAGTTCTTGAGAAAAGAATAAGGGTCTGACAGAAAGACTTTTTTGCGGGGAAGGCATGTCTCACTACTACCACCACCACCACCAAGCACGCAGGTGGCAGAGCATGTGGAAAGGCACGGGATAATGCATGATAGACCGTGTTAGACAATAAATAATTAACCCTACCTTTCTTCATCTTCACCTTCACCTTGACCTTGACTTTGACCTTGAGCATCCCCTTTGCTCTCGCCATTATACCTCGTATCTGATCCCCGAATAGTGCCCAGGATGCTCGATATGTTGGGAGGCCATTCAACGTGAGTTAGAAAAAATCCCCCAAGGATAAGGGCCCATCATCCCTCGATTTATCCTTTTGTCTTTGTGTTTTTTTTTTTTTTAAAATCTGTTTATTCGACGGATTGTCTACCTGTACCATTACTGTTCCCTGATCAGGTGAGTACCTCTGTCTTTATGATTCAGGGCACGCGGAGTGGTACAAAATGAAATCCTTGCAATGAGATGTGACATTACTACGGTTGCCAGTTATACGAGGTATACACTCGGTATTAGGTAGGTAGACTTGATGTGTCTGTCTCTGCATTTTGTGGCGTTACATTTCCACCTTAGGTTGATCGGGCTGCATCTGTACTTTCATGGCCTCGTCGCCGTCGCCGCCGCTTCTACCAAACTCGACACCAGATCTCTTCATCTGCACTCGCTGCTCCGCCAGTGCGTTGATCCACTGCCCGAGCCGCCATCCAGCTTTGGCCACCTGTTCCTCCACAATTGGCACTGCGCCCCTGTAGTAGGCGTCAGACAGGTCGTCGGGCCCCCTCCACTCCCAGTTGCAGCACGTCTCACAGGGGTCTGGGCCGAGATTGATCCCGACGTCCTTGAGCACATAGGTGCAGATGAAGGCGTTGGCCTCGGACGCCCAAGCCAGTGCGCACTCCTGCGCCTTCGTGATGTCGGTGCACTGGTCCGACACGTCTACGCCGCCCCTCCCAACGTCGAGCCGCTTCTTCAAATCCGCCGCCCACTTGACCGAGAGCTGCTTGTCATATTCGTTGTCCGGGTCCGCGTCGCGCGGCTTCTTGTACCCGCGCAACTTCTGGATGATCAGCTTGTCCCACACCTGGTGCAGATCCTCTTTCCCCGAGTCCGCCGCGCCCCATTGAACCATCAACTTCGTGCCCCCGCGGCATTTCTGCTCCGTGTGTAAAGGCTGCGTGATGTCGCCGAGGAAATGCAATAGGAATTTGAGGGCGTTGCTCTGATCTCCTAGCTTCAACCGTGGATTGTTGACTTGTTTGGTCTTTTGACAACCCGTCACCATGGGCCATAGAGCGTCAGCTTACACACCATAGTCTTTTTTAGGATAATATCAATGTAAGGTATGGGCAACTCTCTCACCATGTTTGCAATGGCCGTCACGATACATTTCTTGTCAGGATCACAGTCGGCGTTGAAGTTGACCTTGCATTTCTTGGGCGGGTTGTCCTTTGCGTCGATATAGTGCCACGGCTTGGACCAGGGCATCCTGGTCTGCGTCGCCCAGTCATCGGCCCAGACCGCGCCGTCGGAGATGTCGAATGACTCGGTCGGGTGCACGAGCTCGTCAAACAGGTTCTCTGCTTCCGGGGTGAAGTACATCTGAGCGAGGTATCCGACGGTGCGGTGTCCGAGTTCGCCCCATGAGAAAGCCTTGCTCGCCACACAAAGGAGGATGAGAAGGCGAGCCTTCATCGTGAGGTTCGCGACGTCAGTAGAAGTGCTGTTTCTGTGTCTTGAGCGCAATGATACGCAGGTACCCAACTACCAGACGTCAAGGTAGAAGCAGTGCTGGAGAACAAGAACTGGCTTCTACCCCGGAATAAATAGCGAATGGACAAGGAACGAGCATGTGCCACTGGACCTCAGAGCTGAAAGCTTCTGTCTCTTGCACTCTCACCCACCACATCCACATGCTGAGAGTCCGTGCTAGAGCTGCTGCTGTGCATTGGTTGTAGAGATTCGAGTTACACAAAGGATGGGGGAGGGGAGGGAATACGAGCAGTGAGCGTCAGGAACACGAAGACAGACGCGGGTGCGTACAGTTCAGCTCCTCCGAGATACATGTAGCCAGCCAGCCACCACTTTTGAAGAGCGGAACGGCATCCAGACCATGGTTGTTTGCAAGTGTACATGCTCGATGCTCTATCGCGTGGGTGTTCGTGGACAATCCGTGACCTGCCTGTCAGCGAGAAACGATGCCTTTTGAATGTCCTAGGGGGTTGACTCTGTAGCACTCTAAGGCTGTCATGGAAATTCTCGCGTACTTTGTTTGTGTCTGTATGCAGGAGCTGAACCACCTTGACGAACACGAATACGAACGCAGAGGTGGGACGGGGCTCGGCATGGATCCTGAGCATTCAGACAACGCGACATACAAATGGTGTCTCCTAGCAGGCACCGCTTCTTGATATGACATGACCAATCTGTCTGGCGGAGCAGCACCGAGGTCATTCCTTTTCGAGATGGGCCATGCCACCGGCTGGTAGATTGACCTGGTGACAAAAGGGGTACAGCCTTGTGCGGAGTCCAGGGGGCACAAGGCTGGAGGGATGGATAGCATGAAGAGTGTTTGAGCCACACGGTTGACTTGGACCTGATGCGAAATGCCTCGTAGATTCCGTCAATGATAGACAGCTACAATTGCAGTGAGGTGTCGGAGACACGTCTTAAGGCCTGCACTCAACTGAAAATCCAACACCTGAAGCATGCCCGCTACAATGTTTTGGCACGTTTCGGGTTTCAGATTGCCACGCATCCGTGCCCACCAGATCAACATTGCCATTTGGGGTATAGGGGCAAGTTCCTCTTGACTGTGAGGAGTTGCATCTCACGTCAGAGCAGGTATCAATCTTTCTCAGTGCTTGCGCAATGTATCGTTGTCACTAGGGCCTCCACTAAAGCTGTGGTTCTGTCGAGACAAGGCTGCGGAGTTCCGTGAGAGGCTTTGGTCGTGACTTTGTGCTGGGAGAAGTAGTCTTTGAGGCGTCATGCCAGACAAACAAGTTTACAGAATCACAATCAACAGCTGGAAACTCGTCTAGGTATCCGCTCTATGAAAGACCGCAGCGCAGTCTCTCATTGACCTATTTGGGCAGGATGCTCACGTGCAGGTCATGGTCACGGTCATGGTCACGGTCACGTGCTGTTTCGGCCCCCATGCCCCTTTCGCCACAATCCCATGAGGCATGGCACAGCTATGGCAGGCCAACCGACATGCTGCGCAACGCCGCGTGCCTCGTACTCCCTCCATACTTTGCTTTTCGTGCTCCATGTCGCATGTCGCTCACTTGTATTCCCAAAAGTCTTGTCTTCTCACCTGTCCGCTCGCTTTCAGTCATGCCCATTCTGACATGACTACGACATTCTCTTGTCCCGCCCTACACTCCATTCAAGGCGACAATACCAGTATTTTGACTTGCAGCCATGAGTGAGGATCCTTCCTTTGTCACTCTGACGCTCCAGCAGCGTATCGCCGCCTTGAATGCTGCCCATATTGGCCGAATACCTGGGGAGCCACCCCGACCCTCGCCGCGCCCCCCTCCTCCTGTCCCTTACAGACGTCCCCCTCTGGTCAAACAGAACACCATCAACAACCCGCCTGAACACCTCAATGGTTCAGTTACCGACTCGAGACCAGGTAATCAGCCTGCTCCTCCACCTGCGGCGAGAAAACAGCCTCCGCCCCTTCCTTGTCGAAATCCCCCGCTCGAAGAACAGAGGCGAGGCTCGGTGACATCGATCAACTCTAGTGGTACGAGTGACACCGCCTCTTCAAAAGCCACAACCACTCGTACCAAGTCTACAGACTCGACCAGCCGGATCAAAGCACCGGCATGGGGCGAGTGCGAACTCCCTTCCCTACCTCCTCGGAGTGGTAATACACCTGTGGTCTCTAGAAAGCACTCGGAGGATCTTCCCAAATATGTCAGTCGAGTTCCATCAAGCACAACACTCGTCACTTCAGCCACCACTACGGAAGCAAAACCTGCACCTCCTCCGCGCCCATCTCTTCCGCCGAGACGCCCTTCCCGGAAACATGAGGCTGAACACCGGGAGCATGTGGCCGAGACTCTAAGGAAGATGCCTCCCGTACCCTCGGTCGAATCAATAGAAAAGGCAAAAAAGGCGGCGTTCTTCTACAACACCCCCAAAGAACAACCATACCACCAGGAACCTGTCCCAGTCATGGAACCAATTCAGCAGCCACTGAAAGAACCTGTGTCACTACCTCTTCGAGGACAACCAGGCCCAATGTTAGCCAAGGAGCACGTCCCTGTCTCATTGGGAGAGACCATAAATGGTTACTTGAAAGATGTCCAGGCGGCTCCGCCACCCGTCCCAAAGTTCTCTCGACCAGATCTTTCTGCCATACAGGCGACTAAGCCCAAATTTGCTCCGAGCACTCCTCCAGTGCATGGCAGTCCTCAGGCTGCGTCCAGTGTCTGTCTAGTCTGCCGAGACTTCTCTGGCCCCGATACCCAAGCCACTCTGTTCCCTAGGACTCAGGTCACCTCGTTACAGGTTTTAGCCCATCAGCTAACCTCCCCATTTCCATCTCCTACCGACAAGGCACGGGCAATTTTCACCTGGCTACACCACAACATTGCCTATGACGTTGTTAGCTTCTTTAATAACAACGTACGAGGATCAACGCCACAATCAACCCTGCAAAGTGGCCTGGCAGTTTGTGAAGGCTATGCTGCGCTTTTCGCAAATCTTGCCACCTATGCTGGCCTCGAATCTGTCGTTATCTCAGGTCATGGCAAAGGCTATGGTTTCAATGCCCTCCCACCTGGGGCTCCTCTTCCCCCTTACAATGCAGGTCATGCATGGAACGCTGTGAAGATTGACGATGGAGAATGGAAACTTATCGACACGTGCTGGGGTGCAGGCTATGTCCAAGGTGCAGGTCGCCCCTACGTGGCTAAATTTAACCCGGATTTCTTCACCATGTCGAATGAAGAATTTGCGATCAAGCATTTCCCGGGCAATAAAGATCAGTTTTTCCTACCTGGGGGACGACGCATGAGTTGGGAAGAGTATATCGTGATTGACCCTGCCTGCTGGCCAGACATGGTTGAAGGACCGACAATTTTTACAAATGCAAAGGAAGACTACTCGATTGGCGAGAAGTCAGTGTTTCCGCGAGCGAGGAAAATCAGCGTACGTCAGCCCGATAGTGTCCGATTTCAGTTCGGTCTCAGATGTGCGCACTGGACATTGGAACGACATACGCAAAAAGGACCACCCCCTGTATTCATTGTCTCGATTAATGGTGTTGATGGGCGAGACAAGGATCTTGTTCCCATGGACTACTATCCCGGCCCCACGGGACAGGGTGGTGATATATGGGCGGTCGATATCCCAGCCCGCCAGCTGGGTGCACCTGGCCAGACCATCACGCTGTTTGCAGTCACGACCTTTGGCAACAGGCAGGATGCTCGAGGTCTCACAGTGATGGAGTTTCGCGAGGGCAAAGGCAGAGTTGGGATGGGATTTACCGGCGTCGCAGCCTGGGACTTGGTTTGACATGCCACTCTTTTTGGTTGCAAGATACTATGGTTGGTCCGCATTATCAGCATGGCGCTTGGAAAGTTAGCACCGGCTGCAGAGAGACGCTGAGGAACCGTGCCTGTAAACCGTCTACGGTTTGGTTTCGCATTTGGATTCACGAATGGAAGGCAAGTCCTGGATCACATTGGAAACTCCCCACCTGCATCGAGATTAATGGTGTTGATCTCGTGGGTACGAGACCAATCAGGGACGAAGAAAGAAGAAACGTCCAAATCTTCAATCCAATCATGAAATGTGTTTGAGTGAGAGTGGGAGAGAAACAGGACAAAGGCACCAAAAGGAACGATGGTGCCAATATTAATGATAATGAAACCCCGACCAACATAAAGATACCCCATGTAGAGGTGTGTGTGTGTGTGTGTGGAGTGTGTGAAAAAGGAAGACTTTTGAACCGTAAGGGACTCTCTTTTCAATGACCGACCCAAAAGAACAATCGCTTTTACTACAATATGCCGTGTATGTGTGTATGCGTGTGCGCGTATACTTCAAGTGTGTGTTACCTATGTATGTATGTATGTTCGTAGAACTAACTCCCCGAAAGAACACCACTGCCGCCGCCATCGCCATCACCGTCGCCAGAAAATGCAGACTACTACTACCTAAGTAGGTAGGAAGCAACGAACTCGCAAGTCAAAATGCATGTCCGATGCGTGCACGCTTGCTGAAGACAAGAAAAAAAACCCAAGGCTTTTCCGTGCAGTTCGAAGCAATGGAATTTTTCCATACCAAAGAAACCAATATCCCGCACAAGGGGGAGGTGCAGTTCCTCAAACTCAGCGGAGACGTATGTGAATGTCGCAGGGCTGTCTCGATAGAAGGGTGCCATCTTTGGCATCGTCCTCAGTCCGTCCCACTTCCTCTTGAGCTTCAATGCCTGCACGTTGTTTCCCCTTGACACGCCGACCATGTCGTCTGGTCCTCTCCGAATAAACGGTGACGGAGACATGCACATCAATCTTCACCTTGCCTTGTGGAACGTCAAGTCTAGATCCTGCCGCATGCTACACGACCACGTTTCGGCTTTTCCAAACCCTCCAAGCCACGCACCAGCAGCAGATCGCCAAACTCACACTCGCTGCGCAGCCCCACGCCCACGCCGCGAAGCACAAGTAGCCTCGGCATTCTCCATCCTCGAGATCCGGTGAATGCGCACTCCCTGCCGAATAGCCAGCAGAGTAAACGAGACTCCACACGGCAGCTCCCCCAGCAGGCATCATAGCTACAACCCCCCAATTCGTCGCAAAGTTTTCCACTCCCCATACTACAGAGATAATAATGGGCACGAGGCTGAAACATGCTCCGTAACCTAATCCCACCAGAGAAGACGAGAGTGGGAATAGACCAGGGTGCTGAAGCGTCAGCGCAGGAAGAGCGAGATTCAGAAACGCGAGGAGTAGGAGGAATGCTGAAGGTATGAGCAGAACAAGGCGAGAGAATTGGAATCGATTGGTAGGTGGGGAATCGGGGTTCGAGGGAGGAGCGAAGAGATCGGATAGTGAACCTGTGAAGAGCCGCGCAAAGGTGGATGCGAGGGCGACGATAGAGACGTGTGTGCTTGCGTGGCCCGCCGGAGGGTTTTTATTACCGTCACCATCGATATAGTTGTAATCTCTCGGCGTCAAAGTCGGTATGATGGTGCCGAGGTTGTTGATGTATGCTTCTCCAGGTCCTGTGAGCAGGAAAAACCCTGCGGCAAGAAGCCACATAGTTCGATCTGTCAGGAAAGTATGAGTCGCATGGTTGAGAAGCCAGTACTTCTTCTTGCGAAGGCGCCGGTCTTGGTCGCGCTTCTTGACGAGCTGGGATTCGGAGAGGTTCCGTTCGGCTTCCGAGTCCATGTCGTCGTCCGAATACGTGCCAGAGCCTTCGCCGGACTCCTCATCGTCTCCAATGGTACCATAGTTGATGGGGGTGGGAGCACGAGAAGTGTCGTGGTAGAATTCACTCTCGGCCAAGAGACCACTCCGTTCAAGGTTCTCCACGCCGTGATCAATGAGTTCTTCCTCATCCACGATCTGCAGCCCCAAGGTACCGAGAAGACCGACACCAATCAAGGTCCCAGCCAGAAAGATGAAGTATTTGAACACATCCACCTCTCCCTTGTGACCATTAGGCAGCTTTTCATATAACAAGTGCGCGCCAACCTGAGACTCCCACATGCCACTCAAGCCGAACGCCGCAATAGGAACGGCGAGCATGAAACCTCGGTATTTGGCGTTGGCAAAGTTCTTTGCGCAGGTAGCTACGGCAGAGAGGTACATGCAGCTGGTCCCTGCCCCGATCCCGACAAAGGCCAAGATCATCACGCCGAAAGGCCAACCGTGGCCTGGTTTGGTTGCGTCAGCGGGTGGGCCTGACTTGTATGTATAGGCAGCGAGGAGATACCCTGCGCCAAAGAGGACTGAGGAGAGAAGAGACAGAGGAGGTGGCGAGTAGCGATCGCATAGATATCCGAAGAGAGGGACTGGGAGGTACATTGCCAATTCGGCAGTAATGGAGACAGCATTGACTCGAAGTTGTGTGTAGTGCAAATCCTGAAGGAAACGAGCGCCGTAGAGGGAGAAAGAGGTGATTGACCCGGCACAAAGACTGTAGGTTAATCGTGAGCACTTGTATCATCCACAAGAACGGGTGTAAATATGTCATACCAACTGAGCACAGCGCACACAAAGCTCAGTACTCGAATCACCTCTCTCCGCATTGCTATACGATCTCGCTCAATGATCTCCTGGGCGACCTGGCCCATAAAATCAAAATCATCATCGTCAATTCGAGGACGCGAGCCTGACGTCCGCCGTCCACGTTTGCGATTGGCGTCGAAGTCGAGCGCAGCGATGCGAGGATCGGAGGGCGGCATCTTCTGAGCGGCCGCGGGTGAGTCGAGGCAACTGTGAGCCTCGTGTCCACAAGGCTTAACAATACAAGATAGAAATGAAGTGCGCAGTCATGATGCTGGGAGGCCCTCGAATCACCATCGCGACGCCATCATCAACACGTGGTGCGGTGCCAGCTCAACAAGACAAGGGGATGCAGGACAAAACGGGGGGATTGAACGAGGCCTGAGAAGAAGCGGTTCGGGACTTGGGATGAGCCAATGACCGATGACGCCATTCAAACACGCGACTGGAGCAAACGCAAAGCGGAAGACGGAAAAATATTAGTCCGTGAAGGCCCGTCTCAACCAAGGCAACAATGGAATGGGTGTTCGAGATGGCCCAACGACGACATACACTTTCTCTTCCTCCTGGTGTTTGTCCTCTTGCCCTGAGATTATCTATGGTACAGAAATCCTCTTCTGGATCCATCCAGGACCTTTCCCTCCGACTACCGCCAGGCCAATGGGTTGGATGCATGGATATCAAAGTCACAGCGTGCCCTCTATTTTGTGGACTCCCATTCCGGATTCTACACAATGTCAGTGATAAGAACGTGTCGATGCTTGGGGTATTACTGACCTTGCGCAAGATAACCAGTCCTTCCAACGTGCTGCTCAGGCATATGTATTCTTCGTCTTCCAGTTCTGCCCGCTCACCGTATGCCAACAAAACCGGCGTACTCTGAGTCTGCCACCCTGTAATGGTGCGTGGTCGTCCGGCTTGCCCCACAACATCCACTGCTTGACCGACACGCACGTTGACCGTAAGTGGCTTCAGCTCTTCGTCTAGAGTCACCAGGAATCTGGGATACATTGCTGTGACCAAGAAGTACAGAAGGTAATGTGCATCGGCGAGGATGAATTGTTTGGAATCGACAAGGGAGACAAGGACAGTGAGCAGACCCGCCGCGGCAACTCGTGACAGAACTTGTCGATCGGTGTGGAAGGGGTTGAGCGACATAGTGCCCTTGCCCATGTGGAGCAAACCCTGCGCGATTCGAACCATGAAGAGCGAGTTCTGGTCGCGATGATAGTAACTGGCTAGCTGCCTCAGCAGCTGTGCAAGACGTGCATTGTTTGTTCCTGCTCCGACCAAGCCCATCGCGAAGATGGCATTAACCGCAACGTCATTGTCGTTATCGTGGCTGTATCTTGATAGGGTATCATAGATCTTCATCTGAGGGTTACTGGGACTAATCAGGCCCATGGCGAGTGGCACAGCCTTCCGAATGTTGGCCTCACCGTAGTGCATCAAATGACCAAACTGGCGTAGGACCATCTCCTGCCCGACATCTTCACCCATGGCGATCAACGACAGACCGAGAACAGCATAGGATTGCACAAGCTGCTCGCCTGTAGTCTCATCCTTGTCTTCGATGTGGTCGTTGCAGATATGGAGGAGCTCCTGTAGCTTAAGCACGGCTCCAGTTCCAGCCCATGCACATACAGACGCTAGAGTAGCCGTTGGCATGGCCATGGGATGCTCAACTGCTTTGAGAATGTCCAGAATAACATCCACTTCCTCTTGCCGGCCGAAGTAGAGTAGCGCTAGTCCTAGAGCCATGAACCTCGCCCATTTATCCTTGAGCTGCTTTTGCCGGTCGTCGTCCATCATCTGGGTTGCTATTGCTTCGGCCACTTGGTGATTGGACGAACCCACGAAGATCATGCCAAGGGACACGGCAGCCATCGCAGACAGTTGTATCTCCGAGTTGCTGTCCTCGACAATAGGCAACAGAAAGTCCAGTAGATCTTCTCGATTCGATCCGGCATACGACAGTCCCAGACCCATAATGGCGGCCATTCGCGTCGAGGGTTTCGGGCTCTGGAGAACGTCGTCGTCGCTCAAGAGTGAAATGACAGGGTCGCCCTCCATTCGCACCCCGGAGTTGACAATACCGTACGCGAGAAGCGCACCCGCCTTGATTGGATCTTCGGATGACTGTTGGAATCTGTCGATGATGTCTAAGCTCCCTTCCACGTCCCATTGCATGAGCATGCCCAGTGATGCGGTGGTAGAGAGCATGCCATCGTCCTTGGTTTTCCATACCCACGGCCGCTGATCCCCTTCTACTAGCATCAGCCTGTCCGTACCAAACCCAGCATTGACAAAAGCGTTAACGAATGCGCTCGCTAGATTGTGTTTAGCTGAATCTGCAGCTGCGGAGCTACCCCGGCCACTTTCTAGGTGTGTCTTGTAGATATCTTCTGGCACCTTAGGCTCCAGGATGTTCAATTCTTTGGCGAGAGTCTTGAAGTGGTTCGGTAGTTGGGTGTTTCCGAGGCACTCGGCGATCTCTTGCTCATCCTTGGTCTCAGACGGCACATCTATCGATATTCTCTGCCGAGCAATCAGGAAGGCCAGCTGTTTTTTCAGTGCAACATCATCTGTCGATTCCAGGTCTTGTCGTATGAGCTCGTGGTCGTTCAGTCTAATTGCCAACACCATCGCTTGAGCAAGCTTGTTGTATTTGACATAGACATCGTGCGCGGTTTTGAGGAAAGCGACATCGTCGGGGTATGTAAGGAGATTGACCATGCTGACCATATACAGACACACTCGCGCAAAAGTATTCTCGTCCAAAAATCGGGGGATCTCTTCAATCATTTCGAGTTCGCTCAGTAAATCCACAGCGTCCGCTTCTGCGTTGTGACTCAGGAAATACGGCACCAAGGAGAGGGCAAGCTCCGTCAAGTCACCGACCTCTCGTTCGTCCGTCAGGCGATTCTGGTATTCTTGACCGATTTCCAGGGCGAGATGTCTAATGTATTCATGACCCCACGACCCCAGATCGTCCGATTTATTTGACAACAGCCGATATTTCAGTGTTTCCAATTTGTCCTCTTCTCCATAAGTCATACCCAGCACCGATAGCATATCGGCAAGAGAATCTTTGTCAGGACCAGCCGGCCATTTATCGTAAACAGCGGCGATTTCGTCATAATGAGGGCGCAGGAACTTGAGAGGTTTGGGGACGGCTGTCATGGAGGAGGTCGACGTTTTGATGAAGTTTTTGATGGCGTCAATCGAGGGCTTGTAGAGAGAGGAATCGTCTTCTTTTAATCTTTCAACCAGCATCTCGAGATCACTCTTGAGTTGTTGATCCTCTTCGCTCAGCTCTTCGACCACAGGCTCGTCATGCTTGCCATCTGCTTTCTTCTTGTCTCCTTGTTCTGCAGCGTGTTCACCGTTTGACACTGGTGCATCCTCTGCCTTGCCCTTGCCCTTCTCTGCGGCGGTGGGCTTCTTCTCGTCCTGCGCCATCTTGCACCTGGGCCTTTAGTGGCCAATAAGAGTTGAATGAAAACTGAGGTGCGCTGTCGATGAGGCTGTAGGCTGCGCGACGTGAGGAGATAGATGAGAGTCGTCTGAGTATTTCGAGGAGTAGAATCACGTTTGTTGCAGATACGAGCTGGAGAGGGTTGAGGCAGGGTAGTTCCAGGCGTCAAGGAGCTTACGGAATAGGTTGAAGGGTGAATTGGTGATCCACCAAAATAATGTTCGGCAGCGCGCCTCCGGGGCATCGATCTGGTGGACGAGGCTCAGTATCTCGGCGCACCTTCCCCGTCTACAGAATGCCTTCAGCTCGTCTCAAAAGTTCGTCGACAGACTACCTCCATTGACAGCGAAGTTTAGTGTGTCATCTCTCAACTGCGTCGCTTCTTGCGATCTTGAACTTGCACGATGCCTCGTGCTACAGCACCTCGGGCGAAGATACACGTCAAGCGAACTCCTCCAGTCCTTCTAACACACCGAGTTCGTCCCCAGGATGGCAACGGACCACGACTATGGAACGCAAAGCGACGCATTAAGACCAGCAAAGGTCTACCCTTTCTCCGAGCTCATGCCTTGGTCAGCAAAGAAAAACTACAGGAGTGGCAAAGGACTTCGTGGAACAAGCTCAATGCAGAAGAGCAGAAAGCATTTGCTCCCGTCTTCCGCGAAGACGGTTTAAACACAGAGTGGTGGAAGCTGGACAGAAAGAATCTCGAGAGGTTCATGGAAACCCACCCGAGCCTCCGTGAGGTCTCTAGTGATGTCAAGTCCTTCATTGCAGCTGGTTCAATAAACTTCGAGAAATCGACAATTCTTCGCATATTGATGGACCCTGCGCGATATTTTGCCCTTCCCCATAATGTTCCTCTCAGCATGCGGCGGCAGGTTTACTTGTAAGTTTGTCTAACTATCCCCAAGGGCTTCTCTAACAGCCTGTTGCAGCCCCGACCCCAAAGACGCCGTGGTCCTCATGCGTACGCCGCATCTGGGTCCCCGTTACGCCGCGTTTGATGTACCGCTCCACTTCAATAAAATCGATCTCAGAGCCTACCTGAAAGATGTCTATGCCGTGGATGTTCTCCACATTCGCAGCGTAGTGCTCCAACAGAAAGTCGAAAGAAAAGACGGCAGAAGCAAATATTCGCAAGGCAAATTGTTTCGTCCACCTAGCAAGAAGAAAATGACTTGTCTCCTGGCGAAACCGTTTGTGTATCCTGCAGAGCCAGAGGACCTGGAACCGTAAGCTAGCCATTTCCCATGAATGGTGGATATTGCTCTTGACCTGTGTCCATCTACTAACACCATTCTGCCACACAGATGGGAGCACGACCGATACTGGGAATCGATGAAAGCTATCGTGGAAAAGAACCGAGAAGAATCCGAGTGGGGTATGATGAACCCCGATCTCAAACACAGAAAGGCAATGGCCCTGCAAGCTCAGCAGCTACTGAAGGGAAAGATGAAATGGGCTCCGACGTGGCAGAATTTTGCCGACGATTGGCGCGCCATGCGAGGACTGGGGTCCAGTGCCAGCAATCAACAGCCATCTCAACCTGCGAACCCGTCTTCGTAACATTACTACAGGAATGGACGGACTCGAAGATTTGTACATTAACACGACACATTATGCGTTGTATAGCTACCAAGAACCGCTAGGGTTGTGAACATTCTACACCAACTTTGGGAGTTACGCGAACCACAAGCGCGCATGGGATTGAAGTGTGAGAAAGGGGCAAGGGATGATACACCATGCAGTACATCTGACCAGGTTTGAAAAGTTTTATAGGAAAGAGTGTTTGGCGCTCGCTGAACGAATCAATCCCCAAATTAACCCACTCCACGCTTCGAGCAATGCGCATTCAACGGTTACAATCTGCTCTCGACCTCAGCGAAATATCGATCCGAGGCCCAGTGTGAATCGGGCCAGATATATCGAAGGGCTTCGTAGACGTGCCTGCAGAAACGGATTATTAGCAAACACCGCACTTTGCTTCCGCAGGAGAATAGCACCGGAATGGGTCTGCGGCAGACAGCGTAGGGAAAGGCATGACTTACTTGACATGTATAATCTTCAAGTCCTTCTTCACCTCCTCCGGGACGTCCTTCACATCCTTCTTGTTCCCGTTCGGTAGCAAGACTGTCTTGACGCCTGCGCGGTGGGCGCCGATCAGTTTCTCTTTAATGCCTCCAACAGGCATGACTCGTCCTCTCAGGCTCACTTCGCCCGTCATGGCGATTGTCGGTGGGACAGTCTTTCCGGAGAATAGCGAAATGAGCGCGACAGTATGCGCCAGTCCGGCACTTGGTCCATCCTTCGGGACCGCACCAGCGGGACAGTGGACGTGGATGGCACGTTTCTCCATGATGTCTTCGTCTCGATCGTGCGTCAGGCCCAGGTCGTAGCTATGAGCTTTCACCCAGCTAAGTGCGACCTCGACGGATTCTTTGAGCACATCTCCCAATTTTCCTGTGAGTTGCACACGGCCCTTCCCAGGCATGTCGGCCACTTCTATGAAAAGAATGCTTCCTTGCCCACCAGACGAATAAGCAACCAATCCCGTGACAACACCGGGGCGAGATTGTTTCTCGGCGATTTCTTCTTCGAAGCGTTCTATACCGAGGATGTCTTCAAGTTCTTCGACGCGTACGACGGGGTTATATTTCGATGTATCGTTTGCGTCACGGGCATCGGCGTACTGCACTGCTTTGTAGCGACACACACTTCCAATCTCACGCTCGAGGTTGCGGACTCCAGATTCGCGAGTGTAAGCTGTGATTATGGTGTCGACGACGTCGTCAGGAATTATCACTTGTCCTTCAGCGAGACCATTAGTGCGAATTTGTTTCGGTATGAGATGTTGTTTGGCGATGTGGCGCTTCTCAACTGTTGTGTAGCCAGCCAGACGAATCGTTTCCATTCGGTCGAGCAGCGGCGGCGGAATGGTATCTAAAGAGTTGGCCGTGGCGATGAAGAGGACTTTGCTTAGGTCGATAGGGATGTTGATGTAGTGATCATTGAAACTGTGATTCTGCTCTGGGTCAAGAACCTCAAGCATCGCAGCTGAAGGGTCACCATGGAAATTGTTCGAGCTCACTTTATCGATCTCGTCAAGCAGGAAGACTGGATTGGCTACGCCGACCTTTTTTAGGCCACTGACAATCAGACCTGGCATAGCAGCAACGTATGTCCGCCGATGACCCCTAATTTCTGCTTCGTCTCTGACACCACCCAAAGAGATGCGGTGGAACTTTCGGCCAAGCGAGAGTGCAATGGATTTTGCGAGAGAGGTCTTGCCCGTGCCGGGTGGCCCAACTAACAAGAGAATTGGAGACTTGTCCACCATCCGCTTCGACTTGAGAACATGGAGCTTAGCAGTGGCTGCATCTCTCTCGTTGTCAGGGATTTGCTCGACCTCCCTGCCCTCCCCTTCTTGACTCGGGGCAAGCTGCTTCGTGAGACGGGCGATTTGTTGATCGACATCGGCATTAACGGACTGTTTCAATTTCAACACTGCGAGGTATTCGAGCAACCTCTTTTTGATCTTCTCCAGTCCATAATGATCGTCATCAAGTTGTTTGCGCGCTCGTTTCAAAGTATCGGCGCCAAGCTGATCATCAGTGACCTTAGTCCATGGGATCTCGACCAAATTTTCGACATATGTACGGATCACACCATACTCAGCGTTGGCCGGGTTCATCTTCTTCAGTCGTCTGAGTTCGCGCTCCGCAACCTTTTGAGCCTCGGGCGACAGACCGGCCTCTGCCACCTTCTTCTTGAGCTCTTCGACTTCGTTAACTTCGTTGTCTTCGTCGTCATCACCACCCCTGTTGACGCCAGGCATCCCGGGAGGTGTCATGCCATTCAGACCAGACATTGCTCGCCTCGCTAGAGCTTCGCGTTGCTTTTGATTCAAGTCGGAGATGTCAACGCCGATATTAGGTGGCAAGGTTGTTGAGGTTATTGTGGTGACTTTAATGTTTCCGTTGATACCCGAGATCTGCTTGTTAAGCAAGGCAAGGACGCGCTCGAGTCTTTCATGTAAATCTAGTGTGCTCAGGATCCGAAGCTTCTCCTCAAAACTCGCTTCGACAATATCCGTCATGAAATCGGCCAATTGGCCAGCTTGAGTGAGGTCTTTCTTCGCAATGAACAACTCGAAGCGACGGACAATTAAAGGCGACAGCGCCATGGATGCGGGTCGGAAGAGAGATGACAGCCTTAGCAGTGTCAGAAGCTCACGAGACCGTTGCTTCAGTCGAGTGAAGCTGGCCCGGAGGTCCCCGTCATTAAGGTCGGGGACTTCATCCTCGTAAAATGTGACATCGGCTTCAAAATATGGTCTTTCATGCTTAATCTTGTCGATCTTGAATCTCTGGATTCCTTCCACAAGCAGATATGGATCTGCATTAGGGCTCCCCTGGACGCTGACAATCTTCGCCAGCGTGCCGTATCCATATAAATCCTTCTTTCGAGCCTTGCCCGGATCTATGTCGGCATAGTCATGATCCCGGCTACTCTCTTTGGCAGCGCTGTCGAGCAGTTCTTTGCCGTCGGGGCTCAGCAAGGGCGAGTTCACGGGAACGCAGCCGACGGGCAGTTGGGCCGAACCAGATCTCGACTTCGTGGCACGTTGAAAGGCCGATGACAGGAGCAGGGGAATGTCGGCACGGTTGGATACTGAGATGCGGAGAGTGACGCCGGGCAGAAGGACCGAATCCTTTGCTAGCGGGATAAGAGGAATCGTCGCTTTGGCTGTGTAGCCCATGTTGAAGGAAAAATGGGGTTGGAGGTGGTAAAGGGAGGGAAAGCGGCAGAGGGAGGGAAGAATGAAGTTGTTATTGATATGCCGGAGGGGGGTAGATGTACTTGGTGTTGCCGCATGGAAGATGCTCGATGCACATCGGAAGTCCAAGCACGGCTTGTGGCTTGTAGTGCCAGGTACCAACGAGCCCATGTCATGTCATATTCAGCCGGATCATCATTTCCTTGCCGAGGCACGGGACGCAAGAGCGGATAGTGACACGTGACTATATCGGCGGAAATATGGCACGTGATCTTTTTCGGCGCGGCAAGGCTCCGCGCCAACTGGACCCAATGTTCCATCCCCAAGCCACGAAGATTTCATTCATCGGTTCTGCCTCAAACTCGAGGAAATACACTTGCTACCCGGCCAAGCATGACAACGCTCGCGGTTGTGTCAGGCGAACATGCCGCGGCCAACCCGGCTGAGTCGGACTCCAAGACCACATTCAACGTCGGAACGAGAAAGTCCAAACTCGCTCTGATACAGACAGATTTGGTCGTCCAGGCATTGGCAAAGGCCTGTCCTGAGTATGTCTACGCCATCAAGGCGCGAGATACCGCAGCAGGCGACATTGACAAAGTTACTCCTTTCAAGGACATGCCCGTGAAGAACATATGGACCCACGAGTTGGAGACACTCATGATCGAGGGGCAACTGGATTTTCTGGTTCATTCGCTCAAAGGTTTGCATGAAAGCACGGAGCTGGCATTTGCTATACTAATTCAGCCCGACAGACGTCCCCACTCTGTTACCTCCAGGTTGCGAAGTAGGCGCGGTGCTGGAGCGGGAAGACCCAAGAGACGCGTTTGTCATTAAGGCAGGGAGAGATGTCTGCAACATAGAGGATCTCCCTGCCGGATCAACCGTAGGAACTTCCTCCATACGACGAACTGCACAAATTGCGCTCAAGTATCCACATTTGCGAGTGCTCGATGTCAGAGGCAACGTAGGCACTCGCCTCGCTAAGCTTGATGCTGAGGATGGGCCTTTTGATGCTTTGATACTCGCCGCCGCCGGACTGCTTCGCCTCGGGCTCGGTGATCGGATCACTCAATACCTCGACTCAAAAAGCGGCGGCATGCTTCATGCCGTTGGACAGGGTGCTATTGGCATTGAGAACAGGTCGTCCGACGATCGAGTGCGGGGCATGTTGAGTCAGATTGACCATCGACAGACTCACCTTGCTACGGCATGTGAGCGCAGTCTCTTGAGGACGCTGGAAGGAGGATGCAGTGCTCCGCTAGGGGTGGAGACTGCTTGGGTTAAGAATGAAGACGGTGGCTCACTTCTTCGGCTGAAAGCGCTCGTGGTCAGCACGGATGGCAAAGAGAAGGCCGAAATCGACATGACAGATGATGTCCAGAGTCGGGACGATGCCGAAAAGTTTGGAACCAATGCTGCAGATGAACTACTACGCAAGGGTGCGGACAAAATTCTCACAGAGATCAAAGCGAAGCGTCCTACCACCGTCACAGACCTTCAGGAGACCTGAGAGGAGGCACTTCGGAAGAGATTAGGGCCCGTTCTACTTGCAACGGAACTTCTGCTTTGCGTGGCGAGTGGCAGATGGACGAGCTGGGATTGAAACTAGGATTTGCCGTCCCGAAAATCCAGTCTATGGCAACTGCTCAGAAATGGCATTGAAGCCAGTCTTACTACCCCCGGTTCAACGTGTTTCCAGCTCCTTTCGGGTTAGCCTCTACAAACTCATCCCACTCTCGTGCCTTCATCGTGGCAGCGTCGACTTGCTCCATATTATCCTCATCGGGCTCGGCCTGAGGGGCATTGGCGTTTCCTCCACCGTCAATGATGCCACCCCTCCGGCGCTCTTCTTCCAGATACTCGTCGATGCTCATGGTAGGGAGGTTGTGTCCTGGCCTGAATACGCCCTGTCGCAACTGGGTCCGCTTGTCTGTGAGGGTGAAGGGCTGAAGAGGTTTTCCGCTAGAACTGAGTAAGGGCCCACCTCTCTTTCCAAGGCCCGCCATTGTAGCAGGCCCGTCTAAACGCTCCGAATAAGCATCAGACCGCGCAGGAGCTCTCTGATCTGGCGGTGTTGGCCCGGGCCTAGCTGGCTCGGTATGCCGCATCTGAGACAATATTTCCAACTCCTGAGTTATCATTTCCAGAGACGAGAACGCCTTGTTGACTAGGAGAGCAATTTCGGCTAGATAAAGACTCCGAATGGTCTCATCGTCAACATTTGATTTCGTGGATTCGTCTCTCAGATACTGTTTTGTCAGTAAATTTGTGATGCACAGCGTGAGACGAACACAAACCTGCAACTTTTGCTTCAAAGATTTTTCTTCTTGAAAGCGAGAAATCTTGATCCTTCGTTTCTCCTCGGGGCTATTCGAGGAGACTATTCGAAATGAACCGCGCTGTTCGACGTAGCGTTCGTAAAGTTGGCGATCTGAACCACCTAGCAAACCGTATTGATCTAGTCGGGTCAAAAACTGTTCGAATAGTCCCGCGGCGTCCCGCAACGATGACAGTCTGTTTTCGCCATATCCTCTAATCTTGACCTCGGCCAGTAGACAGTCCACCGTCAGGTATCTAAGACAACGTCAGATGAATACTTGAGAGGCGCAGCCGCGCCAATTCTCTCTACATACTGCAGGTCTTGCGTAGATATGTCTTCAACCTCTTCATTCGTACTGAACAAAGAGAGGTCTTGGATCAATTTGCGACACTGTTCGAGGTTGTCGATGATGGACTGAAGGGTGTGCTTGAAGTTTGCGCTCCGGGGGTCGAGGCCATCCAAATCTTCTTGCTGTTTCTTTGCTTGGTTGAACAGCACCTTCAGAGATGGTTCAGGAGTGTCCATGATAGCCTAGCCTTGTCTGGTTTCAGTTCCTGGTAGAAGTGAGGTTATTGCGTGGTTGGGGTTCTTCGTTGGCAGGATGGAGGGTTCGACGAGGGGAATCTCGACGGAATGATCGCCTCGTTGGACAATTAGAGCGTTCGACTCGTAGTTCAACCACCTCTTGCCGTACTCGACACTCATAGGTCTACCGGGAAGGATTGCTGAGCAGAAGATTAGAAATAAAGGCGCTTGGAGGCAAACATGATCGGTTGGAAGGCAATTCAGTCGCACCAATCACAAATACATGCAGTGCCAAGGCCGAATATCGCAGCCGCCTTTCATCTTTTTCCCCAAGTGACGATTCATGACATTCAGTGACTCACGCATACTGCATCTTCACTCTCCATTGACCTCTGTCATCTCTCTTGTCTCCTTGCCATGTTGCAAAGGGGTCAACGGAGATCATCATGGCCTCCTCCGCGACTCCCCAGGAAGGAAACGCCAACGATGAAATCCCCATGGAAAAAAATGCTGGCCTCGTAATGGGCGTATGTCACCCCCTGGAATGTTTGATATGCTCGGACTAACAAAGGTATGGTCACAGACCAATAACAGCAGCATTGTATCCAAAAGGAGTGTCGAGAAGCTATACCTTCCTCAACCGCACTTTTATCGCTACTTTGTCAAGAAGCCGATCCGTCGCTCTCCCACCATTAACCGTGGATACTGGCTCCGCATGAGAGCAGTCGATTGGGTGGTCAGGCAGTTTCTGGAAAAACCCTCTGACTTACAGAAGGTCGTCATCAATTTGGGCTGTGGCTAGTGAGTAAGGATGCCGACAACCTACGCTGTGCGATCAAACACGACTTACCCTCGTAGTGACCCACTTCCGTTTCAATGGATGGCTCAGCATCCCGACTTGTGTGGCAACACCAAGTTCATCGATGTCGATTTCGAAGAGCTCATGATCAGTAAGCGAGCGATTATCTTGAACACCCCCAAAATGAGAGATATGCTCTCGAGGACGGCGGACACGACGGATTCAGCAAAGGGAGTCGTGCTGGATTCGGATGTGTACGTCGCCATCGGATGCGATTTACGAAACCCTCGGAGGCTGGAGCGACTTCTAAGATCCGTTATCGACCTCGATCAATGCCTTGTATTCTGTCTCGCCGAAGTCAGCATCACCTATATGGCTACGAAGGACGCGGATGATCTGATCGCCTGGACCTCCACCCTGTCTCCAGGTATGCTGATCTCTTCCCAGCTGCGGATAAAGTGACTGATGGGGCTCAGATGTGACTTTCTGCCTCCTGGAACAACAATCACCGGATCGTCCGGACAATCCATTCACGGCGGCCATGTTAAAACATTTTGCTAAACTAGGCACACCCCTTCGATCCGTGCTCACTTATCCCGGTTGCCACACCCAGACATTACGCTTTCAGGACGCCGGATTCCCGCATGTTGAAATACAAAACCTTTGGGAGCTTTGGGCCGACCCCAGGTTTCTATCCCCGTCTCAGAGAATTTCTCTGGATGAAGCCGAGCCATTTGACGAGTGGTGAGTTAATGTCAGGTACACCGGTTTCCTTATGTACTAAGAATTTGGGTATAGGGAGGAGTTTGCTTTGTTCGCATCTCATTACTGTCTAGTCATTGCACAAACAGGCCCTGAACCTCTCGTGCCAGAGCAGCAGAGATCGAGGAGGGCATCAGTTGATAGTTTGGTATCAGACCTTTCAGCAAGGACAGTCTCTCCCCACAGAGATAACACCCAATGGTTTGCATACAAATACTCCGCGAATCCAGAGAAAGAAGGCAGGGCCCATCATGGTTCTGCTTTTATAGTCCCAGGTCAAGACGCTATAGCCCTCCATGGGGGCATTGGTACTGGAGGTCGCTTGTCAACTACTTCAGTCTACACATCTGCAGACTCGACACTTCCGTATCCCTCCGTTCCACCGGATGAAGTGGGCGCCAGGTGTTGTCATACCATCACCACACTTCATAATGGACAGAATCTTCTCGTTGGTGGTCGAGGCTCACCATCGTCGCCCTTGAAAGATTGCTGGCTTCAAACAGACTCGAAATGGGAAAGAGTCCACGATCTTCCAGAGCCTCGATTTCGACACCGAGCAGCGGCCGTGGTACTACCATATGACCAGGATGGCGTTGTAGTGTTTGGTGGGAAAACCTCAGCAACCAGTGTTGCGATTGACTGCCTGCTGTGGGACAGGGAAAACGGCTGGCAAGTTCTTCGCAGTCTCAAGTTTGACCCTATGCCACGCTTTGGGGCGTCTTTTGTCCGCCTGGGCTTCAATCACGGTCTCCTCCTCGGCGGCATGCGACAGGACGGAGTCATTTGTCAGGGCCTGTGGAAATGGAGACTGATCATCCGGGACAACAAAGTCATGGGCATCAGTTTTAGGGTATCCACGGCGTTGGACGCCTCTGCGGGCATCTGGCCATGGCTAAATCGTCTAGGGGCCTCTTACAGCGTCATCAGAGATGAGATTCTGCTCATTGGTGGAGTAGCAAAGCACGGCTGCATCCCCAAGGATTACGAGATTCTCTCCATTGTCGGGAGCTTTTCTGCCTTCAGCGACTACGAGAAGGAAATGGAGTTCAGAGTGGCTTGTGTTTTGCCCAAGAGGGATCCGAATGTACCGCGTCCTTTCCTCATCGGTCACTCAACACATTACACCGCTCGACAAACCACTCTGATCGTTGGTGGAGGGGCAACTTGTTTCAGTTTCGGCGCATATTGGAATCCTGGCTGTTGGCTTCTATATGATCGAGAAGCAGGACTGAGCTCACACTGGACGATGGTGAAGCCAGAATCCAGGAAATCTGCGGCTCAATCGACGACGCACGATGGCATGGCTGCAGGCGTCGCAACTCCCATCAAACATATCAAGGTTGACTCGGAGCAAGATTTTCTACGTGTCCTGAGCGAAGGCAGGCCCAGAATCCTCTCAGGTCTGGACATCGGTGAATGTGTATCTTCTTGGACAGCAGGATATCTCCTCTCGCAAGTCCCACCCTCAAAATCCGTCGTCGTACATTCTGCTCCGGGTCGGACAATGAACTTCCAACGCAAAGACTTCGTCTACAAGACGACCTCCTTCCATGAATTCATCCACCAACTGGAATTAGACCCAAACGCGCACATGTATCTCCGTTCGATTTCTAATACTAATCCAACCACCTCACCCGCCGACCTCTCCACCGACTGGCCCGAGATCGCGACCGATTTCCACATCCCGTCTGCGCTCTCCTTTGTGGAAAAGAACCAGCATAGCAGCCCTCTCCGAATCAGCGCAGATGTGAACATGTGGCTACATTACGACGTGATGGCTAACGTCCTCTTCCAGATCCGGGGCACCAGGAAGCTTATCCTGTTCCCTCCAGAGGATCTACAACATCTGAATTTTCCACCCGGTTCGACAACATCCAGTATCGACATCTTCGAGCCGGCACCACGTCCAGGACCAGGTGAGGACACGATCAAGCCCGTGCCAAATACACGGCCTCAGATTGCAGTCTTGAAGCCCGGCGATGCTTTGTACATTCCACCATTGTGGGCACACACAGGTACTCCGTTGCCACCTCTAACAAAGCCGGAGCCAGTCTCGATATCAGTATCATCGTCATTGTCAGAATCCGCTTCCCTGTCCACTTCAACGTCCACCTCTGCACCGGCAGCCGCAGCCACATCAGCCTCCCTATCCCAACTCTCCCTCGAATCCATTTCAACCACCACCACCACTACCGAAGTCAAATTAAACAAAGAAGGCCCCGTCCCGAAGACGACCACGAACGCAGATTCGAGCCCGAACGCGCCATCAGACTCGAGAATCAACATCTCCGTCAACGTCTTCTTCCGCACGCTACACCCGCACAAGTACGCCGCGGGCCGCGACGTGTACGGCAACCGCGACCTCGCCGCGTACGAGGACGGACGGCGGGACGTGGAAAAGATCGTCCGCCGCTTTTTGAAGGTCGACCGCGAGCAGGACCACAACCATGACCACGAGCATGACGGCGTTACACAAACATTTCCGGACGCAAAGGGCAATGGAGACGGGAAAGGCAAGGGTAAGAGTAAGGGAAAAGGCAAAAATGCGAAACAACAACAAGGAGGAGCGGAAAGCATCGAGATTGCAGGTTCTGGTTCCGGTCCTACGCATGAAATGGGCGTGATCCCCAAGGACATTGTCAGGGCGTACCTGACCCGGTTGGCCGACGAGTTGAGGGACAAGGCCGACAAGTTGTAGTAATATTCATGTTGGCTAGTCTAGCAGCCTGGCAGTTTGGCACTCCGGCTGGATTGTTGGCTGGTTTGATGGCCGGATAGTTCGAAGATTGGTTCAACACGCATAAAAGAAAGGAAATGGTAAAGGAAAAAGGGAAACAGGAAATTAACAAAACCGGAGAAGAAAACGAATCAACTTTCGCTGGCCATCCGCGGATGCCACCTTTGGATTGGTTTTTATTGCATATATACCGAGTACAAGATACGTTAATCACATATGACGATAGGGGAAGAAGAACGAAGAGCAGAGAAACGGGAAAAGAAATGGAAAACACCAGATCATTGGGGAAATATATAAAGCGTCGAGCCTTTACTCGTTCAGTAGATAGACTAAGAATGAGGTCGTTAGATGTTTGCTCTCTCGCTCTCCTGAGCTCGAACCCCTTGGTTGGCGCCAGCATCTTTTTTATAGCCCCAAAAGCATCCATATACTGACAAGCCAAGGGGGGACCCTTTATAACCCTCCGCCACAGCGCACACGGCGCAGCGTAGCGCGACCTTGACGCCGCGAGGCCCCAAGTGTTGATTGAGCTCCTTTACCCAATGTGAGAATATCAACATAGAACCAAAAGACCCCATTGCGCGCGCTACATGTCCAGCGAGGCCCTGCCTACTTTTCCAAAATACCATCCTGGCCAAACGCGCCCCATCATCAGGTCCTCATAGCAGTCATTCAACATCCGTTCATCCATCATATATCCAATCCGTAACATCTGTAGTCATAGCACATTTCCCTCATCGTAGATCGACGCAATATCATCATAGTAGCAACAACGATCACAGCCACTGCAATAGGTGCCAAAAAGTCCACCCGTCTGGCCAGCGGCACAGGATTGTGAGGCTCAGTCCAGCTGTTTTGAACCCGATGTAAACCACCTTCGATAGGCAGAGTATCAGGGACTAGGTCTGATCAAAGACCAAAGCCAGCGAAAAGAACGGTCCGGAACCACTCAAGGCTCACGACCGTGCATATGGTCTGTTCATTGCAGCGATCTCCCGCGCCACGGTCGCCCATTCGAGTTCCCTCTTCGCAGCCACGCCGCGTTTTTCTTGTTGTATTTCGTCCCACTTCATCAACTCGTAGACGAAGCGCAGGTGCGGTTGGATGATGACGTTGAGGCGGCGAGCGCGGACAAAGCAGCTACCATGGGTATAAGCATCGACCATCAGTGGGAGTGGCTGGAAGGGACTTACTATGCACGGGGAAAACTCAGCCCTTGACTTGCCATTACTTCGGCGATGCAAATGGTTGCAGAGCGAGAAACACCGACACGGCAGTGGACTAATGTTGCAGTGCCATCTTGTTTTCCTCGTTCTGAAGTGTGCGTTAGCATCCAATTTCCGTAGTTATTCTAATGGTCTGCTGGAGAGGGATCTTACCGATAAATTCCAAGCACCTTTCCATTTCCAACGTCAGTTCATCGATCCCATTGTCCTGCACACGATCCACCATCATCAGGTTCTCTCGACCCCAGTCGTTGACTTCCTTTTCCGTCCAGGAGACCGGTTCACCGACACTCAGAATTCGTCTAATGCCCAATAGCTTGAGCATTTGGGGGTTGTTCGCGTGTGTCAGGTTGCCCAAGTACATGTACGGAAGGATGCGACTTGGTAAGCTACCGTCGAGTTTGGTCAGCCAGGCGGGCGCTTCAATGGATGACAACTTCGAGGAATCAAATTTCGGAGATTCATCAAGTATGCGGCCTTGAATGGCGTTCAATAGAGAAACGTCTGAAGGATACGCAAAGAAATTGCGTCGCTTTTCACAGTGCAAGCGAATCCACGCTTCGTGCAAGGGGACACCTTCGGCGTACATAAAATACGCAACGGCCAGCATTGATGTTTCGGTGTATCCATCAGCACAGTGTAGGAGGACACGACGAGGCCGAGTTGCGAATTCAGTCATCTGGATGTCGCCATCTTCGTCTTTGCATTTATTGACAGGTTTCATGGTATGAGTGAGGTTGTATAGCCATCGACACATACGCAGGATGCCATCGACCTCAACCTGGGACCATGACGGCGGTAGGATACTTCCTGAGCTGGGAAACGTCAGGTGGACAGGATCGTCGTCATCCTCGCGTTCTTCAAGCTGTTTCAATTTCGCAGCCAGAAGTTTGTCGTCCGGAAGGGAAGCGTGATCACTGGCTTCCACATAGAGATCGTAAGTCGGATCATCAAGGCTTGACGGAGGGTTTGTGTAGGGGCCCGGTGAGGGGCCTTGGAACACAGCCTGTGAAATTTCCGAGGCCTTGGACATGGCACACATTTCTCGCCTTTCTTGCTGGAGAAAGTCGAGTGTGTGGTCCTGGTATCTGCCTTGGGAGTCGATAGCCACCAATTCCGGATGTGACTGTTCAAAGTCCTCGAATGACTGCGTCAAGACGAAGGTATGAAAAGTCTCAGGACATTGGCCGATGCTCTCCAATTCCTTCCGCCATTTCTTCTGGACAGTTGCTGTTCTCTCAGCAACAGATTTGATGATACGGTGGTCTGTATCTTCGTCGCCATAGACGATAATGTCGGACACAAGGGCCATCTTAACCGCTTGGATATGGAAATTGCGCACCGAGAAGCCTTCTCGAGGGTCACAATCTATAAAACCCCGGCCATTACCTTCTGACAAGTTAAGGATTTCATCTGGGGCAATGGCTCCTTTGATCCTTGAGCGACTCAGATCACCACCGGCCTTGATGATGGTTATCCCTCGCAAGCACTTTGGTATCTTGCGCAACGACTTCTTCCTAGCGACAAAGAAGGCTAATTGGATATGGTTTTCAGGATGGAGCCCGTGCAGCCATGGAAACACTGACGACGGGTGTGGAAGGGGTTGACGTGAATAGTGTTCGACCGCTTCAGCCAGCTGTTTGGCCGAGATACCATATATTGGCGGAGAATTGCACAGCTTCTGGTAGCTGCTTGGAGGGTGTAGGAGCGAGGTGGGTTTGGGAGCGACGTTGCGTAGTGGAGGAGAGTTTGGGGGAGTTATTTGCGTCTGTGAGGGAACAGGTCCCGGTGGACAGTAAGGGAGATGTTTGTTGGGAATGGGTGTCGAGGATCGAGCTTGATTCAATGAAATGGTCGGGCCGAGGGGTGGAGGAGTGGATTGTCGAACTTGAGGTTGTTGCTGAACCACAACTGTAGCCATCTCCCTGTTCAAGATGGAGAGACAAGGCGAAATATAACTTGGTTTGATATTCTGAGCAGGAAACTTGTCCCAAAGGCTCGTCCTGCCCCCACAGGAGTCCTAGCCGGCCCTGCACAACAGCAGGTATCGGGGAAAGCGTCGAACACGTGCTGCCCCAGTAGGTCTCCTTTAATCACATACGACCGATATACTAGTGTTTGAGAAGAGACGATATCGCGGTAATCCCTCGCCAGGCACTCTCGCAGCGTTATCAATGGGGAAGATTGGGTGCTGAGGTAGAGGTTTGATCCAATGGAGGAAAGGATATAGTTCGATACGAGGGCCGCAGGACAATGTCGTGGTAGCCGAGGAGAGGGGCAATAGAGACGAGACGTCGGCTCTGAGCCTGAACCAACTTTTCTGGTAACAACAAGAGCAAACAAAGCAAGAATCCAAAAGTACTCAGATACAAGGTGGTCGTGTCGAGTGCGAGTAGTTGATGGAATGCTCAGCAGGTGGGAAAGTCTGGAGAAGGGAACAGAGAGGAGATCCACAGCAGACGAGGTGATTCCTGAGGGCGGGACGAATACTGGGTAGAGAGGGGCAGGAATGGAGGGATGGTGGGGCGCCAAGTGTTGGAAGGGGGAGCTTCGAGCACGAGCCAGGGCCACTAAGAGGCAGCCAAAGCCAGTTCCCCATCAGCCCAGCCCATCATCGCCCATATCGCCCCCCCAGCGTTCGGGGGGAGCCAGGCCTAGGCAGGCTCTTCCGTGCCAATGGTCCACTAGCGATGCCTGGGAACGCGAGGGGGCGGTTCGGGGGTGTGGAGGCTGGGGGCACTTCCACCAGTAACATGACCCAAGAATGGCTGTTTGACGGACCCCCGGGCAAGCACATCGCGAGGTGGCTTAGTCCAAGGTTAGTGGGCTAGGTGGGCGACACCACTGCAGCCATGCATTAGCCGAAGTCATTGAGCTTGAGAGACCCAGATGCGCTCTCTCTCTCTGCCACCATGATACCGGGAAAAGCAGCAAAAAACATACTCTGCGCCAATGCTTATCAGAGCATGTGTCCGCCAAGAGAAGGGAAAGGATATGAGCACCCACCACAGTCAGAGTCGGTAATTGGGCGTGAAGCGCAGCCATCAGCCAGCAGCCAGGTCGAGACGCACGGCGCAGCAATCACCAATTACCAATTGGCGCACACTCCAAGATCCCCTCCCTCTAGCATCAGATCCCTGCTTCCACTTCGACCTAACGACTCGATGATCCAGCCTTTGGTTCTGCCGAGGGTGAGAGGCCGGCGATGGGATTTGGCCATGGTGGGTAAGAGGCGGGACTACCAGTGATACCAAAATGTCAAGTCTGGGGAAGCACAGGCGGGGTCTCAATGGAGTCCGCGTCCGACATTGTCAACTATCCGACAGTGATAGAAACTGAACATGGACGAATAAAAGGGTGTAGTAGTATTCCCAGCGTAGAAGGCAAAAGGAATCATTCAGTGTCCGAGAGGACTGACTACACAGGGCAAGATGGACGACGGGCGACCTAGAATGTCGATCACTTCTGCGCCCTATGGTTTGACTTTCCGCCCACCTGGAGCTCCCTCATCCGTTTCGACTCTGGTGCTCTGCGATCTTCGATCTGATAAAACGATCGTCCACCGAGCATTTCCACAATCCGGTTCTTTATTGCTCCATCCCCTCCCGTACCGATTTTGTCTGCGATCCGATCTCACAGCATCACTCGCGACGGTTCATTTGCCACAAGAGGGGGATGACATTGACGATGTGGCCGCTTATGGCTGTCTACTCCATGATTGGAGTAAAAATAGTGAAACCGGGAGCAGCCTTTCTGTCCGATTGTGCTGAAGCACCAGAGGGTGACCAAAACGTATGATGTCGCAGCATTGCGAGGATCAAACCTCAACCAGCCGCAAGGCAGAATAGCGACCCGACCGTTGTATCGCCCTGGTGACTATTGTAACCGGCACATCCTCCGACAGAAACTGCGAATTCCTCTGCGAATTTTGACGCGACGGCCCAGGAATCTGCCCATTCTCTCTTTTCACCGTGAAAGGACATTAATGGAATGTTGCGTCCTGTTAAAAGGTTATCTGCCTGTAGTTGTACCGTAACCGCTAGAAGCGGAGTGGTAAGCGAGTTGCCAGACAACCTCTGTTCCTGACGCATCAGTCGAGCGATCTCGTCATCTGCCGTCAGCGCTTTATCATCGGCCAAACTCATCTTTGGGGCCCCGTTGTCCGATTTTTGAGCTTCTTCCTCCGCAATGTATTCTTCCGGGGGCTGATGAAGTTCACTGTGTACTGTCACCGCTGAGAGCCCCTCCCTCTCCATAAAACTTGGGTACAAGACGTAATCACCACGCGCTTGCATCATTTCAAGCATTGGAACCATCCATGCTGGATATTCATGTGACAGCAGTGGTGTGGATTTGGTCTTCGACTTAAGCTCCGGATCTCGGAGGAGTCGATGAGACAGGAAAGCGTGAAATTCCACCCACCGATCTCCGAAATAGAGCACCGCAGAGGATGCGGGCGCTTGCCAAAGGGTGAAAGGCTCCGCAAGTTGTCGTCCTTCATATGGCGCCTTCGTTTTCATGTCTGGTCCATATTGAGGCAGATCCAGCGAGATGCCAGCCATGAGTTCGATCAAACCTGCTCTCTGTGATCCGTAACGATACTCAAGCAAAGTGTACATTAGAAATTGGAAGTAGTTCGGTGAGAGCTCGATGTTGGGTGAGAGCAACAGAACGTGTGAAGTACTCGCTGCAGCAGGGTAGAAGGACTCGACTGTTCGCATAGACGCTTGAACAGGGGTCATGAGTCTCGTGTCCAGTCTGTGCTTAATTGTGACTCTACTCTCGCTACCGGCGCCATTAGCAGGCCATCGGAAATTTGACAAATATCGAGCGAGGAAGGGATCAACGTTGCTGGGGAGTTCAATCGTCAATCTCGGAAGCACCCATCCTGAATAGTCGGCGTCTTTGATCGAGCGTAGAAGCCGCATCAGTGAAGCTGAAGACCCCGGCTGCGCTTGGATGACGATGTCAATCTGGACTTTATCGAGCTTTGAGAGGGATGCGGCATCCAAGAATGAGACCCACGAGAAACTCTGCGGGTTGCTGGGAAGCATGATGAGAGAAAGACCATTTGACAATGTCTTCTCCCTCAAAGCATTGACCAGATATTCATCCTCGCTTTCTGTAATTATAACCGCATGCAGTTGTATGACAGAATGAATGTGTCCCAGACTTGCAGCTGCACTGACCTGCAGCCTCTGTATAGACGACTGAGCCGCGTGGTCAGGTCGCGCATCGTGGAAATTGATGTTGCAACCTGAATCTTCCATCCCATTTGTGGCGCGAATGTCTGACCAGGCGGCGGCGTCACGTCCCATAAACGCTAGATGAACTCGTGTCCTGTTATGCTGTGCCATTGCACACGCCAGGGGCAGAACCCGAGGGACATTTTTCAAGTCTGAAACGGCGAAGAGAACATTGCCTTTCATATCTCTGACCCACGCATGCTCTTGTAAGGTAGTCGCGAGTGCGTAGAACATTATAGGACCTTCATAACTCCGATCGGGATGTTGGGGCGTGTCTTGAGGTTCACTCCCATGCGGACCACGTATCCCCGGGCCCAAGCGACCGTAGCGGCGATCGTATCGCTCAGATACAGGAGGAAGATCTGTTGGCATGTACTTAAAGAACAGGTACAGGAGCCATGCTGCGAGCAAGATCAAGATTATGCGTCTGCGCCTAAACGTCTTCCACCTACCAACGAGGAGGTTGTAGGTTTTTGACCGACGGAGTGTGTAGGTTTCTGACTGCTCATGACTTCTGCTTTCTGGATGAAAGCGGCTCCTGGCAGCCATTCAAGCCCAGCTGCGGAGCGGATGCGGCTTTACATTGATGTAAATTGTGTCTTTGTGAGAGTGAAGACGCGATCAGGAAATAAATCGACCAAGTGGGCAATTGGCAAGTTAGAAAAGAGTTCTGTCTGACACATGTATGTCAGTCGCCGATTGACACATCTTAGTGGTCAGACATAATCATTTCCAAGCTCCAGTGTAGCTCTATTAGTCTCGTTCTACGATCAGCCCACTTCCATCCCGACATGTAAATCGACAATTTCTCGACCACCGAGAGACAACTTCTGGCGACACCGGTGGAGAAGCCTCAACCGAGGCAATGAGAGGCTTATGGACTCAAGCGTCTCGACCCAGACTAAGAAGCTCTCACTACTACTGTTCCGCAGACTCCATCAGCTCGACGCTTGTTCGAAAGACCACTACCAGACCTCCACGACGCCGGCCAGGCTTCGGTGACGCTTTTACGGTCCTTCTGACCCCTGTCCTTGCGGCCGCACTGTTCGTTGACACAAGTTGGAAGGCAAAACAGAGGAGAGATTGGGATGAAAGGCTCGCTGCCATCAACAATGAAATAGACACACTCAAGGAGAGGGAACGGCAACTCCGGAGTACCATCCATCTCCGTAACCCTCTGTCAGGACTATCTCAACAGCGAAGATACTATGCGACGGCCGTGCAGGCGCGGGTGGAGGACGATGAAATCCCCGGAGAAATTGAGATGCCAATTTGGCCGGCAGACCTAGGCCAGGAAGACGGTGTGCTGCAAGAGGAGAAGATACCAATACGACAAGTGCTCTCTGCACGCGAGTTCTCGGCTGAGCAGTTATCCAACTTCAAGCGCTACCATCGCCTGAATGCGATCACTCTAGCTCTGAGGATGCTCCTGCACCTCCGTGTTGGGCCCAACCATTTCTATTCGATTGTTCCATCGGATGACCCAATCGACAGAACGACCCTCGAAACCTCTGAAGATATCGGCGCTCTTTCAGACACCAATCGCTTGGCCGAGATGCTCGCTCTGACACGAAAGCAGATGCGATCGTTGGGAAATCTGGAAGACCTTTTCTATGTGGCACCTCGCATTCAAGCGCAGGCGGCTCGAGGCGGTCTTCAGCAAGCCATAAAAGAGCTGACCACTGAATTCGATGCCGGGCGTATATCATTGACTGGGCTGATTGACGGTTATGGAAAGGCGGTGCTACACACAGATGAAGTTCCCTCTGTCTCCGTTTACGTTATGCTCATTCGGTCTCTTTCAAAAGTCGGAAGCCACAGTCTAGCTTACCACGCCGTTGCCGCCCTGAAGAGGAGTACACTTCCACTCTCGGACCCAGCAATCTTCTACATGCTCTTGCAGATTGGTCGAGCCTGCGACTCTCGGTCACTGAATCATATGCTGCACTTCATAGCAAAGGCAGATAATCCTCTCAACGTTATCCACAAGTGGGAAAAGACACGCGTCAACGGAATGGACCTCCCGGTTCCGACCACTCTGAATCCACGACTTCTCATGGTCTTGGTCTACACCTCCCTGAGATGCGAGCAACCGACACGGGCAGAAGCATGGTTAACCCTCCTGCGCGAAGCAGACTATGGGAGCATGTGGAAAGATGACCTCTTCAGAAGCTTTCTGGCCTACTACTCTCAACATGGTAACTGGGACGAGGGCAAAAAATGGTTACAGCGATCTGTCCAACACGCATTGACAATCGCGAACCAGTCGGTTGACCGACTTGCACGTGTGATTTACCGTATGCTGGATCTCTGTGTGCGTTGCTGCAAACTTGCAGAATATACAACGATCCTCGACGCCGCAGTTGATGCGGGCATTGGGCCGCCACTTGTCGATAAAACCCAGAATGATCGCAGGACATTCCACCCACGGACTCGAAGCATCCTTCTTGAGTGGGAATCTCTTCCTCTCCCGGACAACGTTGACGAGTGCCCTGCGCAGGAAAAAGCAAGATCGTTTCAATTGGCATGCAGATCTTTAATGGAAGAGCTTTCTGGAACCCCTCATAAAGCCCAGAACTCACAGGAAAGAGAGGATAGCGGGCTGGTGCTGATGGCGCCCACAGCCCATAGCCCCAGTCTCCGTTATACGGTACGCAGAATGACACCGGATTCTCCAGACGCCAGTGCAAGTGGATACTCGTCTGTTGAGCTGGACAAATTGCAGAGTAAATTCTTGCAGCAAGAAGCCGTGATTTCCCAGCTGAAAACAAAGCTTGACCTTGCGGAACTACGACAGAGGTCTTATCAAGAAGAGACAGCTCAGAGAGCACAAAGATGGATCAAAAGCACTTCGGCACTGGCACAGGAGTTGCGGGAATCGAAGGAAGACTATGAAAAACTTCGGAAGCAGAATGAGTTGTATGAGAAGGAGTGCGCGGATATGCGAGCGGAAGTGTCAGCATTGAAAGCTGTTGCAGACCAGTGGATGCAGCAACGACAACAGCAGGTGGAACAACATGCCTCATTTTCGACAGGGCTGTCTGAAGAGAAGAATGTGGGTGGTGGATCGCAGGGGATGGGGCAGAAAAAGGAAGTGTCGTCTCTACAGGGAACAAAACGAGCATCAGTCAGAGTGCAAACCTCCCGGGAACCCACAGTCTCAATCAAGTCAGTCGAAACTCCTGCGGCTCGGCGATACCATTCGAAAATGGGTGCCCTTCTGAATGATCCAGGGGAGGTCAGAATTCAGACCTACTCAAAAAACTTCGACAAAGATGCCAGACCGCGAACCTTTAAAAGGGTTCAGGTCAAGATGCGACCGGCTCCAGACTCAGCTTCGATGCCTTGACTCCAGAGGGACACACTCTGCCCGCTCTTAGCTCACATGCGCTGGTCTATAATAGTGGCGGCGGTACGTCCGTTCCGCAACTGCTCAATGCGCTATATCCGAAGCCATCAGCCTTCGTCTCCAGGTCCACATGGGCAGGTGAATTGAGCCCCCTTCTAAGTCGCGATGCCCTGGCTCGATAGAATCGACATGCGGCCATGAGAAGGAAGGGCTAGTCAATCAGTATTCTGTGGACACGGTCGAGGTATCCACGTCGACTGGTCCTATCTATATGCTGGACCATGTGGTGAAAGAACAGAACAGGACAGATAATGATCATCAACCGCCCATCATCCGTCGCTTTGAAATCTTGCCATCAACCCACGAACGTGACTGCACCACCAACACCATCATCCAGTACCACGGTCGATCCAGAAGTCGAAAGTAAGGGTGGTGGTGAGGATGAGACGAGCCGCACGAGACAAACGTACCCGGTGATTTCAAGATCGAAGACTAAAGACCGACGCCTGGGGCAGAGATGCATGGACGGAGGAGGGAGAGAGGAAGGGTAAGGATAGGACACTGGCTGAAAAAAGATGCTGCCTAGCTGCCTAGGTGCCTAGGTTTCAATATAACCCTGGAATTTAACCCCCTGTGACACGTACCGTGCCTACGATGCCTCATCCCATGCTGCAGCAAGAATGTACGAGTACAGCGATAGCCATGGCAAGAACAGTGGTAGTGGAAGCGGTGTGCAGGGGGCGACCAATATAATCCCTTCCTCTTCACAGTCAAACTTGACACAAGGACAGGAAACATGGCTTTGACTCATACTCGAAAGTGACGACGCTCCAGGAATTCTTCCATCGGAATTCCGTATCATGTATGTATACCAAAACCAAAACCAAAACCAAAAAAAAAAACGCCAACAGCTCTTCGCTCCTCCGCCCGATACCCAGTTGCAAGGGCGACTCCAAACTCCTATACTCACGTAACATGTAGGTATCATTATAAGACCGAGATTGTGATCGTGCTCGGAATGGTGACTGCTTGGGTTCGACGGCGTAATACACCTCGATACCCATTACAGATATCGCTTCGCTGGCGACAGTCGTGTCGCTCATCTCAGATGTCGGATTTGGTGGAGAACGTCTCAACCTGGTTCCTGTGGTCTCCGCACTCGGGATTGTAATAATAACGCCGACTTTCAGTAGGACTGTTGCCCCGGTGTAAGAGACACATATCGTCGTCACCCTCGTAGGTTGATCTCCCGACAGTGTCATATTGTTTGCTCATTTTGTTCGATCATCCACCAGGACTTTCAAGGCTTGTACTCCGATGCTCAATAGTTCCGGATCTTTGGTCTGCTTCAGACAAGTCTTCAACTTCTCCACGGCGCCTTCTTTCTTGTATGCCTCTTTTACTTTCAGTGCCAATGATTTGTACTCCGGGCCGGCTTCATCGCAACATAACATGTTTCGGACCACGACCAAGCCTCTATGCACCACGCCAGGATCTTCATCGAGACAGAGCTCTAGAAGAATCTCTGAGGTACGTTTAAACTCGAGCATCGCGGACACGATGTTGATATACTGCTCCGTGAGCATTGCCAGAGCGCCACCCGCGGCGCGCCTTGTGGGCAAATCTTCGACATCGGCCATTGCCACCAGGATACGTAATCGCTGGGCAGCACGTTTCGAACCGTCGGCGAATTTCTCGACTCCGGTGGGAACAACGGTCAAGTTACATATCAGTTCGCAAGCCGCACGGCGGACTAGCTCGTTGTTTCCCAATAGGAAATCTTCAATGTCATCCCAGGCTGATTTAATGATAAAAGAGGCGGCATTGGAGGTAGGTGCTGATGCAAGGTTGGTTAGGGCAAGAAGACTTTCGAAGACCGGCAATAGATCTCGCGGCTGGTCATTTAGAGCTGCACCGCCCGGGGTCTTCAGTAACGCCACCAAAGGTGGCACAGCGTCAGTGATATCGGGTGTCGATCCGGGTGGGAAGATATGAGCTGGGTTCAAGGAGATAAGGATACGCGCGAGGGCGTGCGCAGCCTCGGGGTGGGCTTGAACGCTGTTTTCAGGTGACTGTAGACTTCTTTGTGCGTGAGAAACGAGAAGCTTAATGGCTCCTTGCTGAGCGATCTTCCCTCTGTCTTTTGGGTTCTTGGACAATGACAACAAAATCCTATCGCTGAGCTGTGCTGTAGCTGGAGATCTGGCCTTGTTTAGTCTGATTAGTGAGGCCACGACTCCAGCCTCGACCACCGCCGTGCAACGTGCCCGTACATGCTCGTCATCCTCTAAAGGGTTTGGTTCGGCGGGTTTGGTAGCATTCGCATAAGCTTTCAGCTGCGACATCTTTTTCTGCTCGTCGGACAGACTTGGGGCATATTGAGTCAGATTCGAGATGATACTCAATCCGCCAACCACGACTTCCGGGCTGGTATGGTTTTGGTCGAGGACCTCCAGGAGTGAGACCAGGAACTTGCGATCTTTGGCGAGTGATTCCTTCACCTCGGGCTTTAAAGATGTATACGCAAGGCCTTCAATCGAGTCAGAAACGTTCTTTCCTTCTTCAACAACGGTGAGGGATTTCTTGAAAAGGTCAACGAGTTCACTAACATCATCATCCGCCTTATTGGCTCTTTGATCTTCAATCTTGACGCCCGAAGTTCTCAACTTAGCCAAGACGGTGGCCGCCACCGATGGCTGCTTGCCGGTCCCGGTGCTCACTTTGTCCGCGAGCCAAGCTGCGCAATACTGTGCGATTGCTGTCCGACAGGCGCCATCAATGCAAGCAGCATTGAGCAAGAAGAGAAAGGCGTCGTGGACGAGGGGACTGCTGAATTTTCTGTCGAGAAGAGGCATGATGGAGGCCAGGAAGCCTTCCACCAAAAAGAGCGGAGCCAAGATGGCTGGAATGACCGGAAAGAGACTTGCGCCAGCCGAAAAGGCCAGGACTAGGTCGTCACCCTTCTTCCGTTGAACGTGACTCGTGATGTAATTGGAGAGATATTCTTGGCCAGAAGGTTCTGCCACTTCAAAGAATTTGGATAGGACGAGAGTCGCGTGGCCTCGAACGTCGGGTGGAAGTCTCAGATCCAGGGAGCCCATGAGGGCCTCAAATGCATCTTCATCAATGAATACATGTAGCCGCTGGGTGTCGGCAATCAACAGCAGGGCAATGCCTTTGAGAGCTCGGCCATCATGATCGTGACCAGTTTCCATCAATTTGGCAAGGAAGAGCTGGAACAGGTCATCTTCCACCCGGAGTCGGACCTCCTCAGTCGGCCACAATGTAACATCGAGCACGACCGAGCGCAGGCAATTGGCCGCTTCATCACCTCTTTCATAGACATTGTCGAAGAATGAGGTAGTGGACACTTGAAGCTCAGTCGCTAGATATGTTCGAACTGCGGTACTCCGTCTGGCTAGTTCGGCGATTATAAAATCCTGGGCACCGGACATGGTAGACTCGCGGCATTCAAGGATGATTTGTAAGCACTCAAGGGCAACGGTGCTAGCATTAGAAGCCTCGGGGCTCTTGAGGTATTTGACAGCTTCATCGCCGGCCGACTTATCGTGGTAGAGGGCGTATCTCCTTACCAAATCCAAAAGGGGTGAGTTGAGCTGGTCATCATGATGGATGGCGAAAAAGGCGGCCTGGACATCCGGGTTTGCATGACCCAATGCAGCAGCTTCTCTCAGCTTTCTCGATGCTTGCTAGAGAAAGTATAGTCAGCGACATAACGTTCAGAAGTAAAGATCACAACAGCCCAAAACCTACCACTTTATCACCAGCATTAGAAAGTTCAACAGCTTCCTTGGCCAATTGGGAAGCGCGTTCAGCGTCGCGTTCTTCGGATAATTTTCGGTTCATCCGTTGGACGGTCGACATTGAAGACATTGGACCGGTGAGGAGAGGCGGTGGGGGCAACACGCCTAAGGTCGGAGAGGGAGGGCGATGCGGAGGAGAAGGGAGAAATTATTGAAGAACTCGAAGTATTGAAGAGGTCGAGCACTTGAAAAGGAGAAGTGACGTGAGATCAGGAGGCCAATAACATAATTTATAAAGGGGTGAAGAGCGAGCAGAGGAAGTGGACGGAAGCCGGGAGGCGTACGGCGAGCGGCAGGCGGAAGGATGGGCGGTGTCTGGCTGGACCTGAGAGAGCGAGGCGGCGAAGAAAGAAGCAGAGGAAGCGAGAAGTGCGTTCGATAGGTTTGACGGGGGGGTGGTTTGAATTGGTCAGCTGATGGGAGATGCGGACTCGTGTCTTTGTCTGTGTGTGTATGTACCGAGTATGTGTTCTTCTTCAGATTCGCAGGTGAGGCAAATGTGGTGGGCGTTTGGGCGTTGAGAGTGGACGTATGTTTGTCTGGATGCTAAAGTGAAGCAAAACCCTGAGGCTGGTGTTTTTTTATTGATAGCCAAATAGATACAGGGATTGTCGCAATAATCGGCGGAATAGCGAATGGGACTTTGTTTTTCTGGTGATCCCCAACTCCAAGATGGACGGGAACCGATGTAGGAGCGATCAGACCAACTATGGGCCACGTGGGATGCAGAAAAAAAAAGCTGCTGGATGGTGCAATGAGGCGATTGGGGCAAGAATGGAAAAAGTTTTTCTTCTTCGTTCTGGTGTGATAGCGACAACGGTTGTGAGAGGAGGGAAAGGAGGATGCACATGTAAATTCAAATGCAAATGCTGGTTATTGGGAGATACGAGGAATCAGACCGGGAACGGAAGAATTGATCAGATCGAGTAATTATTAGTTTTGGGAGTTTTGGGGGGTTTTGTTGGTTGGTAAAGGGGGGAGGAAAGTAGTATGACTCAAAAACATAAAAAGTGAAGGGGGGATTGAGAAGTGAGAACCAAAGTGAGAAAGAGTAAAATTGGCAAAACGACGGAGATTAACATGTGAAGCTCCATCTATCTTACTACGGGATATTGTTGTTATTTTGTTATTATTTTGTGCCTACATCTACACGGAGGACTCGGAGGAGGGATTGTTGCTTATCTTGTCTCCTCTGTCTCTTCTGTCTCTTGTACCCAGCAATTCTCTCACGTTGCTGTCTGGGGCGCTTGGGCTGGATGGATGGATAGAGGCTGCCTGGCCTTATCTATAGATACGCGTGCTCTTACCTACCCACCTAGATGTAGGTAGGCACCTACTGTAGGCATCCTGGGGTTCCTACTATTAGCCTAGTGAGCTACTCACTAGACCCCAGTAGCCCTTCGCCTACAGCCTAATCCCTAACCACCGAACCACCTAATCTCGTGCCTAACCTCGTACCCAATGCCTATCTCTTTTGTGCTCTCGGGCCCCAAGGGTGTCCAAGGCGGTTCTTGTCTGTCCGGCCGCCCTCACTCTTACCCAAAGGGTCTAGGCGTCCAGTGCCTTTTGCTTGTGCTCCCACCTGACGCTGAGACTGCGATGGGACAGATGCTCGTGATGCTCAACCCCCAACCATCGATCCACTGTGGCACATCATCGCATCAACTCATCCATTCTTCCATCTCAACCCACTCTTTCACTCGCTCAAGCCATCTCACTCCTCACCTCTCACATTCCACAAATCATCTCCTCTCCTGAATTTCTAATATCGTGGTCCCTGTTATCGTCGTCGTCATCACCACCACTACCACTACCAAAACCACCCCATCATGAATGCGGTCGACGCATCCGAGCACTTTGACAAACCATCCCACTGTAAGTTTCTTGTACCCGCGCCCGCCCAAGCACAAGGTTGCCCGCTCGCTATCCATCCAATCACCTCTTCCCAAATCCTCACAAGGCTGCCATTAGACTGACATCCCCTTGAACAACACAAACAGCGGCCGAACAATCACCCTCACTCCTCACAGTCATCCTCGACACCAACCCAGCAGCATGGTCATTACTCTCCTCGACCCTCCCTCTTTCCAGTGCTGTCGCCAATCTTCTCGTCTTCATCAATGCCCATCTGGCAGCAAACTATACCAACAAAGTCGCCGTCATCGCTTCTCATTGCGACAAAGCTACATGGCTCTATCCAGCTCCCACCGAACAGAAGCTGCCTCGATCCATCTCGGCTCGAGCAAAGCGACAACCTCATGACTCGTCTGGAGATGACAACCTCTCCGATCCCACCAAAAAACTGAAACTCAACGGGCCAGGAGGGGATCACCACCCTCCTGGCTCGACTCCCAGACCTCTTTCGTCCTCAGCAAACACAGGCAGCAAATACCGGCCCTTCCGCCTTGTTGAGGAAGAGCTCCTGCGTAACCTGACCGCGCTGCTGTCCGGCATGCCTCCAGATGCTGTCGCTAGCAACTCATCCACCATGATTGCTGGCGCCCTCACTTTGGCGCTCTCCTATATCAACCGAGAGTCAATCCTGCTCACGGAGTCTCTAGTGGGATCGTCAAACACTGCTAGTGGTGGTATGAGACCCGACACCACCTCGGCGGTTGGCGAAGGAGCAACTCAGTCACTTCAATCACGTATTCTCCTCATCTCAGCATCGCCTTCAACCGATCTGGCCCACCAATATATCCCGATCATGAATGCCATATTCGCGTGTCAGAGACTGTCTATCCCCATTGATATATTGCAACTTCCTCTCCCCACCTCTTCCTCCACGTCCACCACCACTACCACAACATCTTCAAATTCCACCTCAAATACTCGCTCCTCATCACACTCAAACTCGACGGTCTTCCTCCAACAAGCCGCCGACGCGACCCACGGCATCTTCATCCCTGCCCACCTGCCCTCACCCAACGATCTCAACCCGGTCAAGACGGCTTCCCAGGCCCTCCTGACTTATCTCCTGACCAGCTTCTTGTCCAGCCCCATGACCCGCTCGGCACACTTGATCCTGCCCACCCGCATCGACGTCGACTTCCGCGCCGCCTGCTTCTGCCACCGCAACGTCGTCTCCGTCGGCTTCGTCTGCTCCATCTGTCTGAGCATCTTTTGTGAGCCGCCAGAGAACGGTGACTGCCTGACCTGTGGCACCCATCTCGCCGTAGACGACCGCGGCTATGGGAAGACCCCCTCAGTGGTCGTGACCTCCAAACCCAAGAAGAAAAAGCGGCCGCAATAGGTGGCCGGCCGCATGGTGCGCACCGGCTGGAACGGAAAATGATCAGCAGTGTATTCTTAATAATAGGCAAATTTCAAAGCGATTCGGTCCGCAACAGACGGGCACAAAAGTCATCAGACCATGAGTGAATACGAGGGAAAATCGGCCCAGGCGCATATAGATGCAATGTTTGTCTAGACTAGGGTTTTTGGGATCGTTTGCCTATCAATATGAAGATCTTAGGGCAGCTTGATGTTTTAGGGCTCGCGCAAAGAAAAGGCTATGAATATGCCCGCCTCCTTTTACACGCCCTTCTCAATCTTCCACCTGCGGTTCTCCAGCTCTACGACGGTTCACTGTCTCTTCCCTGCAGCATATCTGAACTCCCTCCAGCACCGGCGCAGGATGACGAAAATTTGGCGAGGCAGAGGCCTGTGAACATTGGACGTTCTTTTCCACGTGCCAGAAGACCTGTAATCACCTCGACCAGAGGGTCAACGCGAATGACTGTGTTTTGCTCGAGAAACTCGGCCTCCCTGGGCAATGGACCCGTGGCCTTGGCTTCTTGACATGGTGCATACTGCCTTTGTCTCTTCAGAATGCATCGAGGCAATGGCAAACGAATCGGTGTTGTGGCCGAAATAAAAGTAAATCCCGTCACGGCTTTTCTTGACTGCTAGAATTCCAATGGCGCCAGGACAATGGCTGTTGATGACACCAGGATGACCCATGAAGTCGTTCTTGATGACAGAACTCATCGCTTCATCTTCGTTGCACGATTCGAGTTGTCCTTGTACTTTGCGCACCGAACTGTAGATCCGATCGGCAGCCGTGGCGGCGGCACTCGTTGTAGCCATATGTTCACCTGTCCCACTGGTGACTGTGGCTACACAAGTTTGAGTGGGATCCTGTGGATCAATAGGGATCACAGCAGAGCCGACGCCAACAAGAGCGGCCGGACCACACCGGCCCTTGTGTTTCATGCCAATTCCTCCCGACGATGCGCCTGCAGCAATCCGCCCAAAGCAGTCAATTGCAATGGCGCCGACTGTGTCACTTATGTCATCTTCCCGGTCGTTGTCACGGTAAGCAGATCTTGGCGTGCGCAACGATGCTTTCGATTGATCTTGGGCGGTAAGATTGATTGCCTCGCTGGACAGCCCATCGAAAGAACCGCCTAGCTTCTGACGCTTGGAAGAAGACGCCAACCACTGAAGACTGTCATCAGAACCAGCCTCCAGGGAATCATGAGATGCGTTTCCGTCCGCCCTGTTTTGCTGAGCTGCAGGCTGAGAAGGAGAGACCAAAGGGCCATGTCCTGGGTTCTCGGTTCCCCCAGGGTGTGATAAGGTGGGTACATCTGCAGTCGAGGCCATCAATGGGCGTCTCATAGAAGGCATCTGTGAGAGGCTGAGTTGTCTCCCATGGGTAGGAGGTGATACCCTGGGGCTGGGGGGAGTAGCAGCCGGCGTCGGAGTACGACCCCATTCATCTGGTGGTTCTGTCGACTGGTACAGCTGGTTCTGATCTTCTCTCGCCGCCTCCGTCTGAGAGACGTCTGCAAGATCGTTGATCCATTTGATCCACCTCTCACGCGCACTTTTCGAGACTAGGTAGTCATGAGGAAGAATTGCGATACCGTTATCTGCGGCGAAGTCGGTCGCACCAGCGCCTACCAGTAGGATTGGGGGAACACGCTGGAGGGACATTTGTTTTGTGGATTCGGCAAGAACAAGGTGAGCGACTGCAATTGGGTTTTTGACCTGGGAGATTGCCCCAACCGCGCCACTGCGGCCATAGTGATCGACCACGGTGGCATCACATTCGACCTGCCCAGCTATGGTCAAGTTGCTTCCATAGCCGGCATTTGTGATTTCTCTGTCCTCCAGCAGCCTTATAGCCATCTCCACAGCATCAGTAGCATCACCTCCGTTCCTTAGGACGGCCATTCCAACCTTGGCTGCATCGTTGACCGCGGTGAGATGACTTCTCTCATTTTGTAGGCTGTGGAACCCTGCACCAGCGTGGATGAAAATGGCACACAGGTCGCCGGGGTCTTGTTGTCGACGCGGCATTGGTCGATGTCGGATGAAAAGACAGGAATAAACTTTGGTCAGCAGGAGGGACGTGTTTGAGAGCGATGAAGGCTCCGACCCCGGTTAAGAGGACCGTGGGAGGCAGTGCTGCTGTGAGAATGAGTTCAAGCTGTACACTGTGAACAAGGCACGGATTGTCAGGCAAAGAGACAATGAACCAAGTGAAAAGAACGAAAGGAACTGAAATCCTACTTATGGAGACAGCTGCAGCAGCATGCAGACTTGGAGGAGAAAGGAAAAGTTTGAGCTTGAGGATGCTTGCTTGAATAAAATGAAGGAATGAAGAGATGGTGAACGAGTGAGGGAGAGGTCAAAAAGAAATCAACCGGAGGTCATCGTCGTCCTCTTCTGGTAGCTGAAATCGACAGCCTGCTTGGCATGTTTGGAAGCTGCGACCTCAAATGAGGGCGCGACGACTGTCCCCCATGATTTCTTTATATAAAACGGTGTTTCTGTTTCTGTTTTGTTGGACATGTGCTCGGTAACGAGGTAGACGGACAAGAATGGAAAGCACGATGCTGTGAGGGAGGAACTAAAGGGGGATTTGTCAGTATAGGAAACTGAGCCGACCTAGACACTGGCGCCACCAACGCCATACCAACATACAAAGCATTTCCAATCCCATTTATCTACGAGCCATAATGTTAATGCTATGCTCTACAACCGACGATGAGTGACTATGTGACCTGAAGAACAAACTATCGGGTCTATACGAGGTGCAAACTAAAGAATTCTTGATTTCATAGTGAGACCGGACAGCCACGTGACACACTGTAAAGTACCAGTTACCCACAGTTGTACCTCGTACAGTCACGTGGATGACATAATCCGCAGCCCACTTTAGGTGCAATGGTGCTTTGCCTGTCGGTGCCCAGCGAGCGGCAGCCCACCAACTGCCACTACTACTACCAACGTTTCGTCTCACTGCTGTCCCTCAATTGACTCGTCTTCCACCCACAATTGGAAGCTGCCTGCACACGTTTGTGGGTTGGAAACACGGTACCTGGGTCACTACACCTGCCTTCTGCTATTCTCCTCTTCTCCTTGTTGGCGATGATCCCTCCGACCAGAACCGATTCATCCTAGCGACATCCTCATCCTTCTCGTCGCATCGTCGTATTGTTGCTGCTTCTCGAGGTGGTCCGTGTGTAACCGACCAAAATGGCTTCTCAAACTCCCGCTGTTGTCATGGACAAGTATGGTCTCCTTTCCGAGCACATGTATCTGATGCTGACGGTCAATTAGCGGTACCGGCTTCTCGAAATTAGGTACGCCCATCGACCATGCATAATCGTTACCCTTCTGACCTACCTCAACTTAGGCTTCGCCGGAAATGATGCCCCTTCCTTTGTATTCCCCACGGCCATTGCTATGAAAAGTGGTGCTAGCGGCGCTGCAGGAGGAACGGGATCAGGAAGACCGGCGGTTGCAAATAAACCCTCATTCCTCACCGGCGGTGCAGGACCGAGTTCCAATCTGGCGGGCAAGCGGGGCACAGAAGACCTCGACTTCTTCATTGGAGATGAAGCACTTGCGGCGTCGGCTGGTCCTGGCTACAGTATCAACTATCCCATCAGACACGGTCAAATCGAGAATTGGGACTACATGGAACGGTTCTGGTCAAACTCCATCTTCAAATACCTGCGAGTTGAGCCCGAGGATCACTATTTCCTCCTGACAGAACCCGTGGGTCTTGCTGAAACCATCCATCTGTGTAGTTGTTGACCATTTTCTAGCCTCTGAACCCTCCCGAAAACCGCGAGAACACGGCAGAGATCATGTTCGAGTCCTTCAACTGCGCGGGTCTATACATTGCTGTACAAGCCGTTCTCGCGTTAGCCGCCTCGTGGACATCTTCGAAAGTTACCGACCGATCTTTGACGGGCACTGTCATCGATTCCGGAGACGGTGTCACCCATATTATTCCTGTTGCTGAAGGATACGTTATTGGCTCGTCGATCAAAAGCATACCAATTGCTGGGCGGGATATCACGTATTTTGTGCAGAGTCTATTGCGGGACCGGGGAGAGCCGGACAGCAGTCTCAAGACAGCCGAGAAGGTCAAGGAGGAGTACTGTTATGTCTGCCCCGACATTGTCAAGGAGTTCGCCCGCTATGACAAAGAACCCGATAGGTTTCTCAAGCACACCGTGACCCAACCCAATGGCAGGTCTATCACGATCGATGTCGGCTACGAGCGATTCCTCGCCCCCGAGATTTTTTTCAATCCCGAAATCTATTCTTCGGACTTCCTCACTCCACTTCCCACTGTGGTCGATGGGGTTATCCAGTCATCCCCGATAGACGTTCGAAGAGGGCTCTACAAAAACATTGTGTTGTCTGGCGGTTCGACTCTGTACAAGGATTTTGGTCGCAGGTTACAGCGAGATATTAGACACTTGGTCGATGCTCGTATCAGAGCGTCGGAGGCTCGGAGTGGCGGAGCTAAGAGTGGTGGTTTGGAGGTCCAAGTTGTCACCCACAAACGACAGCGACATGGACCATGGTTTGGTGGCAGTCTACTTGGCCAAACACCTGAATTCAGAAGTTACTGCCACACAAAGGCCGAGTATGACGAGATAGGGCCCAGCATTGTCAGGAGGTTTGCTTTGCTGGGAGGCCCTGGTAGCACCTAGAGCTGGTGATCTGACGAGATAGAAAGGCAGGAATCGAGGAAAAAGATCCAAGACTCCAGATATCATTGACGACATGCTTGGGTGCCCTCTTACTCCTCTTCGTCCGCTTGAAGTGCAGTGTAGTCATGACTCTGGATAGCTCTGGCATCAGAACAAGCTGTCTGTCCGTTGCAGGGCATTTCACCTTTTGCCATTAAAAAGGCGCAGGATGGGTGTGGTGGGCGCAGCTACACGATTATATAATCGCGTCCAATCGAAGGTCGCAGCGTCAGCTCGGATTGTGGCCACCTCGCGCACCATCATCCTCTCTAGTGGAATGACTGCTCGTGACACCTCGCTTCACCAGCACCTGGTCGAATGTTTTTGCTTCTTCTATACGGGCTGAGGCCAAAGGTCCTTACTTGTCCATCCTAGTGTTTCTTTGGCGAGGCACCATCCGGCCGAAACCGCGCTTGACCTCTTCCCGTTGAACGCATTACACCGAGACCGACTCGGCTTCGTGTCTCTGTCAGATTTCGCGCACGAGTGAACAAGGCGACACGAGTCAAGCGACCTTTGTGCCGAAAAATTAAATGGAAATACTTGATAGACAGATAATGCTATTGTCCATCCGGCATCTTAATCTTCAGGTGGTCTCGCTCTCTCGGATCTGCTCCCGATCGCCATTACACACAACGCCATGGCGTCCGCAAATACCCCGTCCGCTCCAATAACGATCCAATTCATGATCCACGACCCTGGTTCCTATCAAAGCGGGCAAGACAAAAACATCAAGATTGCACAGGCCCGAAGGCATGCCGCCAGATATGTTGGCCGACGTGCTCGCTGGGAAAGGCAGATCAGGTAGGTAGCACGGCCTCTCAGAGATTTCCCGACTGACCCAAAAATTGCAGTTGGCGCCGAGAGATGGAGAGCGAATCATCTCAACGACAGGAACAGGACAGACAAGCAATCGACGGCGGCGCGGATGATCAGCCATCAGAAAGCTCAAAAGCCCTCGTCCATAACACCCTATCTCAGAGCAAAAGGGATCCGTTTTCTCCTTATAATGCCTCAGAGCATCCGGCAGTCTTTCAAGACCTCATTGAGTATAGTACGCAGCATAATCTACCCTCAAGAAAGGAAAAAAACCAAAAAAGTGATCCATTTAACCCCGGCTGACTGAAACCCCCGTTCTAAGCCTACGACAAGCTATGGCCTGACCTCATCGAGGTTCAAGGAAAGCCAGCCGTACACCCCGGTAGGCGACAATGGCGCCTGGCGGCTCAAGAGTGTCCTGCCGTTCATCACGTCCACCTCGCCAGTGTAGCGGATTTTGGCAAAGCCATGTACCATGCACACGGTTGCAGTGCCATGTTCGATCGACTGAGACTCTTCCACCACACTCAGGCGCTCCGATTGGTGAGGCAAATCATACAAAACATGGACCCGGACGCTATTCCGACCGATTCTCTCGTGATGGCAGTGTATAACTTGTCATATCAGGGACTGGACTGGGACAAGCGAGTGTTTCCCGAAAGCCACCCTCCGCCACCGACGCTCAACGCACGGTTCCTGGTCCGCTATGGCAGGAAAGTGCCCCATGCTGAACACATTCGTGCCATGAACCTCCTCATCCAAGCCAAAGGCGGCTTAGAAGAAATTGAACTTGTTGGTATTGCGGAAATGATATGGCTGTACGTGATGTCCCTGACCCTCCAACAAAAGAAAAAGCGATTTGCCGCCACCCCCTCTTTTTGCTCTCGTTCCCTAACAATTCCACGAACATGATAACAGATGGAGCCTGAACAACTGCACAACTCTTATACAGCACCCCAGTTTCCCACTGCTGAAAAGCTACGAGCAACTTCTAACTGAGTATACCGAGAACGTGAAAAGATCCCTTCGCAATGGTACGTTTGGAAGATTGGGAACCGGGTTTCTGGTGCTTCCTGCAAGAGACCAAATCGGCAAGCTCCGCGAGCATTTACTGTGCACCGCCTCCATTACCGGGGATCTCACACGCCTGGAGCCTGGGTACGAAACTACGCGGGCGTGGCGGCGACTTCTGGCCATCGCGCGGGCAAACCACCACCAAATCCTGGCCTTGCCGCCGGAGATCCCACTTTCCGAGGCTGGGAGCGAGGAGGAGCGGCTTATCTTCGCCGTCGCGCGATTGGGTGCGCTGCTCTACGACGACATGGTCGTGTACCCGCAGATCGACAGCTCCGAGGTCAAGCCGCGTCTGGCTAGCATGCTGCGCGGCGCCCTGACCGAGAAGTTCCTCAAGTTCATCCCCGCGGGCGGCCGCGAGGAGTACCGGCCTCTGGTCCTTTGGACGCTGCTGCTCGGCTGCATTGGCGC